GCATTTCCTCACTCATTGTCTGCCAGACCTGCCGATTTTCTAACAAACGGTTTTCACATGCCTGATATCCAGGCTTCGCTGCCCTTTCAACAAACACCTGAGCCTGAACTATCCAATGTGGATCCTAATCTCTTTAACAGATCTTCAAGCACACTGGGAATAATGTCATCGGCCCCACAGGCTATAAGCTTTCCGCTGACGCAATCTCGATTCCCTCCGTCGAAGAGACAAACGCCTCTGCTGCTGTATGAACCTTCGACTTTCATGTACCACGGAGGGTCGAACTCTTTCCTGGCACCTATGAAAAGACAAGATAACTCATTGGTAAGTGTTGCGGATCATTTTGCAGCTCCTCTGAGGCCTTTTACGCCATACGATGATGAAATTGGCTCAATTCCTGACTCGATGAATTTGGGAGGCTCTCAATACGATCCTAGCCTTTCAAATATGCTCTCAGCCAGGTCTTCCATTGCAGAACCACTATTAGTCAATGACACGGACAGGATGTCTTTCTTTGACACAAACGTGAGGAACCCAACTCAATCTTATCTCACTCTGCAGCTTTCAAACCAGCACCAGCTACAGCTACAGCAACAGCAGCTTCAAAACTCTCATTTCGACACAACTGCTGGTACTTCGTGGTCGGAAAATTATGTTGATGATGTTGGTAGTCCTATGGAGTCTATTTCAACTTCGAATTCGGGAACGACACCAAATGTCAATCGGTTAGTATCTCTGCCCAAAAAAAAGACAAAGATGAAGAAAATGAAAAAGAAGATAGAGTCTAATGCATTCAGCGGAAACTCTCCATCTACGGGCAACAATGGAAAAGGGGTGAATGTACTGGAAAATAGAACTGGGACACCAGTGACATCTGGGGCAACTTCTAGAGGGAACCCAAAGAGTTCAAATCAGAACTTGAATTCAACTAATATTGAATGTGCAAATTGTTTTACAAAGACAACGCCTTTGTGGCGGAGGAATCCTCAAGGTGAGCCGCTCTGTAATGCATGTGGTCTATTTTTGAAACTTCATGGAACTGTTCGGCCCTTGAGTTTAAAAACAGATGTTATCAAAAAACGACAGCGTGGACAGGGCACTGGTTCTGGTACAAAAAAGACTCCTCAGCAGAGCTCGGGGTTGTCGCAGAGCCTTAACACGATCACTTCCAAATCTGATAGAGATGGAGATGACTTGAACCCCAAGCCTCTCAATAAAAGCAGACAAAACTCTGCAGACAAAGCCGGTGCATATAAGAAAAAGGAGGTGAAGCCTTACGATTCAGAAATGGGTGAGTCAATCACAGTTAAATCAGAAGAAACTCTTATCCCGATTAATGAACTGGACAAGGAAAGCGAATGGTACTCAATACCACAAAACAGCCTAAAAATGGATGTCGAGGAACACGAGGAGAATAAAGGCCAATGGGATTGGCTAATTATGAATATCTAATTGATATAAAAGCATAGATGCGGCTGTTAGATTTTGTTTAATATAAAGATTATAGACTGCGTATAATTTCAATTATGTCCTCCGCCTTTAGAAATGAAATTCAATATATTGCTGCAGCGGTAGTGCACGCACCCTTTCGGTATCGCAGAGCTCACCAAACCTGATTACATCATCTCTCCATACAATCTCAAGTAGCTCTGAGAAAGAAGCTTCTGCCATCATCTCAAACAGGATGTATCCGAAAGTGACCATAGAATATTGTGCCAGATGCAAATGGCACAATCGGGCTGTGTGGTATCTCCAGGAAATCTTACAGACATTTAGCGACCCTGAGAAAAATCTCGTTGCAGAAGTTGCTGTCCGCCCATCATACGACAAGCCTGGTATTTTTGTTATCGAGATTTCTACACAAGATGATGTTAGCAAAATCATATACTGTCGAAGATTGAAAAAATCAGGGCTTCCGCAAACAGAATCATATCACTATGATGGATTCCCAGACTCAAAATTATTAAAAAACCTTATACGAGACAGTCTCTTTCCAGAGCACGGTCTAGGGCATCTGGACGGTAAGGCCGATCTCTTGACTGATTGCATCCCCTGTAGAGAAAATGAGTGAGAAACTGCGTTGACTTTTGAATGCAATATGGGTTCTCCGAATCCTTTACAAACATGCTTTGTGAACAAATTATCGGATAGGATGCTGTTGCAAATGAATTTGTCACTATGCTCAATACAATGTCTTTTTGACATGGAATTCATCTAGAAATGGAATTAAAAAAATGAGTACTTTTAACGCCGGCTTTTGGGGTTTAGTAAGCCGATTATTCCAGGAGGTGAAGCATCCCAAGCACTCCAACTAACTTGATTCTGCCAGATGGTCAAAGGATATACCCCAAGGCTCATAAACCCATACTTTTGTCTTTCCCAATCTTTCGCATGTCTGCACAAATACATGGGCAGGTCTTTTGCTGCAGGGGTTTATTGTCTCACAAGTATTATTACTATGGGATTCGCCTGTGCAGAAGCTGCATGCTCCCTTCTAGTGATCTTGGTTCATGTGCTTCTTTTTAATTAGATATGTGTGCGTTCCAAATGCTTTACCCTCTTTTGTTCGCTTACTCGCCATCAGTGTAGACATCGCTGTCGTCGTCTTTGTCTTCTTCCTCGCCTTCTTCCTCGTCCGTTTCAATGAAATCATCAACAGCGTAGCTGACTTCCTTCTTGCGTCTCCCAGGAGCTTTATCGTTCACAATAATAAGATCATCCAATTCATCTTGGACACTGGGAACACCCTGAGACTTTGCAGTAGAGGTCGAAGGTTTCTTGGCATCATCATCTTCGGATAGAACCACAACATCCTCATCTGAATCAAAAAATGATCTCTTCGACTTCTCTGAGGCTTTCGAATCTGTTGAAGAATTGGTGGGAGGCTTCTTAAAAAAAGTGGGAAGATTATCCTCTGGGGGTGCAGAATCCTTTTTGGAGAAGGGAAGTGTACCTTGTGCTTTCTTCACGTTGCCCTTTGAGGTATCGGCTTTCTTGCTGATGGCTGTAGCAGTCGATGACTTCTTTACAGGCTTCTTTTTCGCGGCTCCATAGTCGTCATCTTTTGCATCAGCTTTGACTCTCCTTCTCTTCTTAGATGCTCTCAGACCGGGGCCACTGGTCAATTTCGAGCGCTCAAACTCATCGTCGTCCATGAATTTTTGCCAACTTTCCAAAAATGCATCCAAATCTTCATTCCACAAATCTTTGGCACTTTTGTTGAACAAGATGTTCAATTCTTGCTCCTTCTCGTCACGCTGCTCTAGCAATTTCTCGTATCTTTCGCGAGTCAATGCCCAAAGTGACATTCCAAGCAAGTAGTCGTAATGTGAATAGATGTTCTCGGGTACATGGACATTTTCCTCCGATTCTATCTGGTTCACACCTTGCTCGTTGATGAGATCCATGTCACCTGTTCCCATCTCTTCCTCCTTCAACGTTTTCTCCGCATCTTCGATGAACAAACAAGAATCATCATCCTTAATTTGTTGGCCCTTTTTATCAAAACGAGTGAACTTCAACAGCCTAAGAAGCTCAACTAAGACTGTTCGTTTCTTGTTGGAAACACTCAATTCTTTGTCAATTATCAACTTGATGAACCTGGCCTGTTCACTCAACTTGACCAACTGATTCTGCAAAGCTTCAGTCATGTGATCCTTACGCTTTTGGTAGTAGAGTAAGCGCACGAAGTAGAAATCTCTCAAAATTTGATTAGGATCATCATACTTTTTTATCCTTCCCTCGGAGTCAAAAGCGACCATATTTGACATTGACACGGTAGATACGAGTTTGAACCTTTCAAGCATCCCTATTTTTCGTGTTTTAGCCATCTCTGCCTCGGTCAATTTGACCACAAAACGGATTCTCGAAGTGTGTTGTTCCTCCATATCTTTAATCCAAGCAGTTTTATCATTCTCAATAGCTTCCAACAAGAAGTTTTTAACATTGTCGGTCCATGTTTTGACTGGAATTTCCGAAATTTCCACAGTCTTCGCATCCATTTGTTCGATAAGACCCTTGATTTTGTATCTTCCGGCGTCGATTTTTTCAATCTCGCCCTCCCATCCTCTATACCATGGCACTAACTCCTCCAACTCTTGTCCTTCCATTAGTCTTCTAATGTTATTGACTAAATCAACAGGGTTGAATGAAGGAATGTTTGTAGACCAGCCAGTGCCAATACCCTCAGCACCATTTACCAAAAGCATAGGAATGACAGGTAGATACCACTCCGGCTCCACTGTTTGCTCGTCGTCTTGAATGTAGGTGTACAACGGATCATCCAAGGGATTGAAAACCTTTCTTGTGATCTCGTTCAATTCTGTGAAAATATATCTTGCAGCGGAGAAGTCTTTACCACCAGCAGCTCGAGTACCAAACCCACCGTTTGGTTTTAACAAATTCATATTATTCGAACCGATGAAGTTCTGCGCCAAGCCAATAATTGTTTGCATTAAAGACTGTTCGCCATGATGATAAGCGGTCTTCTCTCCGATGTAACCAGCCAATTGAGCCACTTTCATTTCGTTGACAAGATTTCTCTTAAAGCATCCAAATAAGACTTTACGTTGGCCAGGCTTGAAACCATCGAGAACTGAAGGAATAGATCTGATGTTGTCCGCCATTGAGAACAAAATGAGCTCCTCATTGATGAAATTACTGATGGGAATCACTTTCATTTCAGAATCAAGATGAGTACCTGGTTGGAAGCCTTGTAACCACTCCTTTCTATCATCGGCTTTCTTTTTGGAAAAAGCTAACTCTATCAAGTTCGGGTCTTGTTCTTGAAGAGCATGAAATTCTTTCAAGTGACTATCCAAACGCGAGAAATATTCTCTTGCTTCCGCGGGCGTAGATGTACCCAAACCCTTGTAGTATTTATGGGACCACCGAACGTTTTGGCCTTCTGTGTCTCTCCAAGACTCAAATTCCGGCATCGAATAGAACGAAATTTTTTGCAGGTCCTGGCGGCCTCTTCCCTTGATAGTGACCTTGACAATTGGGGTAATGAACTCAAGCAAAAATCCTGGAATGCTAAGAAGACCAGGAAAACTCGATTCGAAAAAATTGATGAGCAATCCTTTGATGTGCGAGCCATCGTGATCTTGATCAGTCATAATCATAACATGGCCATACCTCAACTCTTTGACATTGTCAATCGTGTAGTGCTTTTTGTGTTGTAAACCAATGATTTTCTTCAAAGCCGTGATCTCTGCGTTCTTAGCAATCTGGTCAGCAGATGCATCACGCACGTTCAACAACTTACCACGAAGAGGAAAACAACCGTAGTAATCTCTTCCAACAACAGAAAAGCCTGCGACTGCCAAGGACTTAGCAGAGTCACCTTCTGTCAAAATCAATGTACAGTTGCACCCCTCCTTGGTTCCAGCCTTATTGGCGTCCACCAATTTGACCTGGCCCTTAATTCTCGTCTTTCTTCTTCCATCCTCTTTCTGTAAAGCCTTATCTTCGTTTGCGTCGACAATACTCCTAATGGTGTCAATGATACTAGTTTTCATTATTTTCTTGATGAACTGGTCAGTGATTGTCACCTTGTCCTTTTGCTTGGTGGCAAACTGACTTGCTCTGGTAGTGAGTTGTTCCTTTGTCTGCGAAGTGAAAGCAGGGTTTTCGATAAGACTGTTGATGAAAATGAACATGTTGCTTTTGATCTGAGGCGCTTTGATCATCAATTTTTTTTTTCCTTTTTCCTTCTTGTTCAACTCATCCATCAATTTGTCAATAATCTGATCGGATACGTATTTAACGTGTGTTCCGCCTGCTGTCGTCGCGATCGAGTTCACGAAACTCACCTGATTAAAGGTACCATCACTCACGGCAAAAGCTACCTCCCAACGGTCATTAATCACCTCATGAACTATGGAAGTGTAGTTGTTGGCTTCCTGTTCGATACTTAAGCTTGGGCTTCTCTCATTTATTGCCTTGACATACATCTCCACATATCCCTTGAAGCTCTTTACTGGGAGTTTTTTCTCATTCAAATAAATGTTGCAATCTCGAACAGTACCACACAAATCGTATACTCTTCTGCGCAAAACACAAAGAATGTCTTCATCGAGAATTTCCATATGAAACTTAGCGAGGTCAGGCTTGAATGTGACCTTAGTATATTCACGCTTATTCTTCACCTTGGTGATTTGCGGCTTAGACACTTTCAGCATATTCTGAGTCCATGTTTGCTTATAAAGTTGACCTGTAGTTTGGTCTGATGTCTCGAGCTCAAACTCTGTCGAAAATATGTTACAGAGCTTGGCACCGAATCCATTTCTTCCACCGACGACTTTCTTCTGGTCATCGTCGTAATTAGAAGACGTAAGTAAGTTTCCAAAAATCATCTCTGGAATCCAGATATTTTCCTTGTCATGGATCTCCACAGGAATACCTTTACCGTCATTCATGACCAGAATAGTGTTTGCTGCGGCATCTATTTCTACCTTGATGTTCTTCATGGATTTGTCTCTGATTTTGTTATCGGCAGCATTGACCAAGATTTCATCAAAGATCTTGTATAAGCCAGGTACAATGGTCACTTTCTTGAACATCATCAGCTCGGACGCGTCATCAAAGCACCACATCTCAACTTCATTTTTCTCGACAGATCCGATATATGTATCTGGTCTTTTCAAAATATGTTCCAATTGCGAAAGCTTTTGGTACTGGTTTGAGGCATTACCACCGTTTCTTGAAGCAGGCGTTCCACTTTCAGAAGACGCGTTGCTGCTCGAGGATCCAGCCGATCTGGCCGTTTTTTTTGTTGGCCGGGTCACCTCCTCCACGCCAGATGAGTAATCATTATCTGAGTAATCTGACATGTTACCACGGAGATCTATGTTAGATTGAGCACGCGTTGTTTTTGTTGTTGTTGTTTTTTTACTTTGAACCTGAGATTTATGGGCCTGGAGGGACTGGTGCAATTTTCGTGTTTTGATCGAGCCTATGCGATGTGTGTACGCGAATTTCCTAGAAAGGCAAATACTTATCTGCCGGGCCCAGAACTGTTGTGCGCAACGTCTGCTGATAAACATGTTTAGTCCTGGTCCAAGGTATCTTCGGACAGAGCCAAAAAGAAAGAGTTTGACGGCAAATCAGTGGGAGTACATAAACTAAGTATGATACGGTTTGTAAAAAGAAAAACCTTATGTCTCGTAAATGAGTGTATCCGGTGCTGAAACTGCTTCAAAGCCGTCTTAGCTTGGTTATTGTTACACGATGCGAAATATAAAGATGAAAATTCATGGCAGTGTGTGGCGGGTAACCCTTACTACAACGCCATGATGAAACTGGATGCCATTCTCAGGCAAATTAATATGCTATATTTAGATGCAGTATCTAGTGAAACAGAAGAGTGATGAGGGTGTACCATGGCTAACAACACAGCTCCCAGTGATGCAGAACTCTAGGCATACAATTAAACCTTTTAGTGTGCAACTGGAGGTTATTGGAAACACTAACTGTATAAGCTATTTATAACCCCTTACGAACAAACCGGCGTCAATTTGGGATACCATCATCTTGCGCTTGTGTTCTGCTCAAATGATCCCGCAAGCAGTATGAGAAAATAATTCCCCAAGACATAGAATTTGTTGCTGATTGCAGATTTCGGCTTCAGAACTCGATACATGCAACAAATTTTGCATTGTTCGACGCTTGAAGTTAGTTTCACTCGTCGACCTAGATCTCGATTGGTCCTCATCTTTGAAACGGATCCTACACCTACCCCAGACAGTCCACCAGAAACCTATCCCGAATAGTGGATGTTGTGTCAATCTAGCAGTGGAGTTCCGTAGTTGGCATATGGCCATAATAAAAATTATGTCTGTAGGGGAGTTTTATATGCCGTTATTTTTCCCAGATATTTCTGATTATAGTCTTCGAGTTTGTATCATCCTTTAAAAGCTCAAAGAAAAAACTTAAAGCTTGACACACAAGAATGTCTGATTTTATGCTCAATTGCTCTTTGGCGGGAATTATGGTTCGTGGCTCATGCTCTGGCACTTCAAAAACATCATCGTGACCCACCAGGCTCATGTCCCTTACTTCCGCCTCTTCTTACCTTTAGTAAGTTGTGCTTGAATTTTAGCAAACTCTTCGTCGTCGGGGACGCTTCGTTTCTTACCCTTGGAGCGTCCATATTTTGCTTCTAAGGACAGGATCAAATCATCCATGCGACCGCTGCTATTTTTCTGAATCATTGCCTTTAGATCATTTTCACCACTTGCCTTCTTCTGGCCGATGATCTTTGCTAATTCGGCAGCCTCCTGTGCCTCTTTAGCCATCTTCTTCAACACCTGTTTGACTTTCGTTTTGCGCGATTTTTTGTACTTGTTCCATGTGAGTTGAATGGTCTTATCCATAGCAATCTCATCATTAGACACAGCTTTATCGATCATGTCGAACACACGGTTTTCCAGCGCCTCGTCAAACTCTAAATGCGGAATCACCTCGAATAGCCGGAGAAAATCACCTTCGTAGTATACAAAATTGTGCAATATATCATCCTTTTCTTCCAAAGACTTCTGGTATTTTTCTCTATCCTCATCGATCATATCTATAGTGATTTTCTCCGTCATGTTCTGGAAGTACTCTTTCCAGTCGAAGTCACCAGCAGAAAAATCTGAAGAGTTGCCATACGAGCCCGTCGTGTCATAGATCTTACGCTTCTGGGGATCTGATAGCACACTATATGCCAACTGGATTTTTGGAAAATAATCCTTGTCCTCGTTCGTTTCAAGCTGCTGGATTTTATCTGGATGGTACTGTAGCGAAAGCTTCTTGTATGCCTTTTTTATCTCCACAGGCGAGGCAGTGGTACTCACGCAGAGCGTCTTGTAAAGATCGAATTCCATTGTCATCGACCGAGATAATATAGCTTTTATTTGTGAGTGGAGCTCCCAAAGATTAGTCGGAGAACTGGATCGAAGCTTTTAAATTTCTCAGTCCAGTGCCTCAGACGTGATTCATGTCTTCGCGTCTGCATTTTGTGTGGAGCATTCGCGCGCCACTAACCATGCAGAACACCAAGATGAAGCGTGCCAATAGAAATCAGAGAAGGCGAGAAGCATCCTTGTTTATGATATACAGACGGATTGTGCTTGGAATAAAATTTAGCTATTTTGGATTTGTTTCTTTTTCTGGGCGGAGCTGACGTCTCCCTATAAGCAGGCGAAGTCCTCACAGCTTGCTCATTTCTTTAACTCATTAATTGACTCACTGATAGCCTTCGAAACCTTGCCCACGTGACCTTCGTAGACAGAGTATCCCATGTGGCCAACACGGAAGTATCTACCGACCAAGGCCTTGTGAATACCTCCGGCCACAGTAAAGCCTTTTGTGGCCAATTTTGCCAATAACTCTGGTCCGTCCACGCCCTCCGGAAAGTATACGGCAGTGAGCCCGTGAGCGGCAACATCCCTCTTGACAGGCAAGATCTTCATGCCCAACTTCTCCATTTCATCTTTGAATTGACTGGAGACTTTCTCGTGCTTTGAGAATCTGTCCTCCAAGGTCTCGGAAAGGATTTCGTCCAACGACACTTTCAAGGCGGTGATAGTCTGCACAGCTGGGGTGGCAAAATACGCACCAGAGCCAGACTCGTACGCCTTCATGATAGGAGTCCATCTCTTCAAAGAAGCAAAGAAAGTCGACTCTTTTTCCCTCGCCAAGGCTTTTTCAACCGCTCTGGAAGAGGCGTAGAAGATGGACAAGCCCGCTGGAACGCCAAGCGCCTTTTGAGAAGCCGTCAAGGCGAAGTCCACGCCCCACTTGTCGAATTCCATATCCTCCACACCAATAGAGCACACACCGTCTACTATAATCAAGGTCTCTGGAGAGATCTTGCGGACAACCTCGGCAATTGCACCCACATCGGACACGACAGAAGTGGAAGTATCCACGTGGGTGATTGTGATGGCAGCATACTTTTCTTTTTTCAATTGAGCTTCGATCTGGTCAAGTGGAACCACGTCTCCCACTGGAGCAGTGATGACGTCGACGTCTGCGTCGTAAACCTTCAAGCAGTCAGCAAACGAGTCAGAAAAGAAGCCCGTCAGCAAGACAAGCACCTTTTCATTTTTCTCAATCAAATTGGCAGCAGCAACGTCCCAACCCAACGTACCCGAGCCGGCAAGAACGTATGGCTGGGAATTGGCGTCAGAAGACTTGAACAACTTTCTCAAGTTCTGCAACACGGCCTGAAAAGTCTTCACAAATTCGGGAGACGTGTGTGCCTGTGAAGGCGTTGCCATGGCATACAAGACAGGGTCCGAAAACTCAATGGGACCGGGAATCATGGTGAGCTTGTGCTCAGGTTGCTTGTAAGGGACACTCATTGTGGAAGAGAGTCTGGAAAACTGGATCAAAAATGGATGGATCTGTTTGGAAGTTGGGGCTCGCTGGTATATTTGCGAACTCAATTTCAGTGTTTGTTTAAAAAAAATGTTTTTGAGCATACAATGGGAAATCTATATTGAGGCTCGCCGAATTAATGGGACGACAAGACAGGTGGGTCCGATAAATAATTTGTGGAGAAGCCGGGCCGGGTGTGCACACAGCTCGCTATCAACCGCAACGGAGGATAGGCCGCGGCATTTCATACCTCATTGGGAACGGAAACGTCGGGCCGCGCGGATTTCTCCGGCGACCCGGCAAATCGTGCCCAGGCAAAGTCTGTTATCAGGACGGAAAATTGGTGTTGACGACACTGTAAGTTGCAAACTGAACTGCATTTTCTTATAAACTGAGACACATATATAGGCATCGTAGATTAAATACAGGAGTCAATCCTCTTTCGGGCCCTCTCTATCACGGAGGTAAAAGGAGAGCTTTCCTGATGCCACGGTTTTTAAAGTTACAGGGACAGTTTTGGCCCCAGTGTTTCTCAAATTTTCATGCTGAAGATCATGAGAAACACTTCTCACGTGAGCTCCCGCTTACTATTTTCTTGTCCAGGCACGTGTGGCTGTATCATCCGTCTTACTCTGTATTATAGCTGGTGCTTGAGTTGGAGTCTGGTGCTGAACATTCCTTATTTCGGGCAATTTTCGAGTGCAAAATAAATATGCATTACTGTGACTTCGAAAGCCGGGCATTGATTTCATTTGTCACCACGTTCGAGCACAACTTTCAAAATTAGTATTTTATAAGTACACATTTAAAATCAGTATCCGACCAAATTCATATTCAGTTGACAAGCACAAGCTGAATGCGCCCAAAGAATTTGACTACCCCCTTTTTAAAGAAATTTTATCTCATATTTCAGATGCAATAGTATGTTGGCAATAATACATTTAAAACCGGCGCATGGTTCTAGTGCGCAGGCTCCATCATGTCGTAGAGATTTCCGCAGAGATCTTTTGGCTGTTGGTCCGAAACCCCTCAGTAGCAGCAAAACTGGCATATCCTCATGGAAGATCCCAAAGGAGTCGTGTAGGGTTTTCCTCGCAACCAGAAGGTCTGTTATACTCAAGATTGTGTTCGCTATCGAAGCTCATGACGCGCTTTTGTTCTTCACGCAATGTACGCACTCTCTAAACATCTCGCATCAGTAAGAACCCAAAATTACCCCATGCTACCAAAGTTCTCCCTCAGAGCCCATAAAGCGCCACTCACTTGCCTAACGTGCCATCAGGATAAACTTGTATCGTCAGACCGCGATGGATTTATCATAATCTGGAACCTTACCTCGCGAAGGCCCATGGCACTATGGAGGGCTCATGATGGCCATATTCTCACGTTGAAACTGTCGCCAATGGGCCTCATTTCCCACGGAAGAGACTCTATGATAAGGATCTGGGACTTGAGCCTGGAATATTTGAAGACATGCTCAGAAAACATGTCGGACATCGCAGCATTAGGTGCTAAGTTAAACCCACTGCTCCCTCAGCCGATACATGCTGAAATCCCAGTGAATGCTCTCAACTTTTGCAACGTAGACTTCTGTGATGGAATGATGATAACACCAGCAACTGTTGACTCGGATAACTTTGATATATACGAGGTGAGCGATCCATTTGGCCTGTTCAATTTCAAGAGAGTGCTCCAGAATATTTCTCCCCTGAGCCTCCTGCGAAGCGAACATCTTATAGAGGAAATTGGGGCCTCCCAGCATCAAGACAAACGGGGAGGAAATGGAGTAATCATGCGTACATTGTTTGTGGAGCGAAGTCTTTTTTTCGTGGGCTACGAGTCAGGTGCCATCTATGGCTTTTCGATAGAACAAAATAACCATGATAAGGCCTCCGTAAAAGAGCGTTCCATTATCTTCAAAGACTGTAACCTCTCGATTGTGTTCAGCCTGCACGAACACAATCCCCTGCCTATATTATCATTGGTGCTAAACTCAGCAACCTCAGAGCTATATACTGGATCTGCCTCCAAAAAGCTCATTTGCTACAACGTCAGGAATTTGCTAGACATAAAATTCAAGCAAGATGAGAATACCTCAAATTTCACACCGCACAACCTCAGGCATTATGGTATTCAGTGTATACAGATTACAAACAAAATGATATTGACTGGGTTCTGGGATGGGGTTATAAAGGGGTTCACGAATGATTTCGAGGAAGCTACACGCTTAGAACGAAAAGAAGAATCAATAAGACCAGAGCACGACGGCGAAATTTCGAAGCCGGCAAAGAAATCTATATGTATGGAGATTTGGGCTCCTTGTTTTCAGAATTCGAGTGTTTCGTGTTTCAATGGCCGGAAAAATACACTTCGGAGAGCTGCCACAGGCAAAGATACACTTTTATTTGTCGGTTACGGTGACGGACTTATAACTGCTTTCAAGGGAATCAATTGAATATCTATAAAAGGAGCGTTGTGATGAAGTTCTAATCTTTGTAGTCAACCCTGATGTGTTTCTTCAACTCGAGCGGGCAGGTGTTGTTCCCCGGCCCCCACATTGTAGTTGTTATTGTTCCCCCCGTAGAACAGTTTGCGTTTACTGTTTCTTCTTTGATTGTTTGTGTTCGCATTTTGGGTGCTCAAGTGGTTGTGTCCACCACTGCTACTGGCCCTGGATTGCGTCGTACTTGGAGCACGTTGAGGGTTGTTTTGCAGACCACTCAGATATTGTCTTCCCACAGAGCTGCTCCTCAGATTCAGACCATGTCCTTGCCCATATGAGCTGTTTCTCTTCAGCAGCTGACGATGTAAATTGGGGTTGCCACTATCAGTAGAGCGTGTTTGTTGACTTCTAGAGCCCCCGCGCTGTTTGGGTAGAATTTCCGAACCCTCATGTAAGCTGGCTTCTGGGGAAAATCTCATCGAGTTACGATTTTTCCTCTTTATCAGCTGTGAAGAGGCTCGGGAACCCAGGCGCTCTTGAGGAGGCTTTACTTCGATATCATAAAAACTGGTTTCTAACGAGACGGCCGACTCTCGAATCAAATCGTCCAAGTCGATCAATGTCTCTGAACGTTCCGTCACCATGTCGAAGATATCGGGATGTTTGTGCCTGAGAACATTGATGATATCAACATTATCCAGAAGAATGGACTTGCATTCCTCACCATGAGTCTTCGCGACCTTGGCCAAAAGAGAAAGCAAGCCTAGAATCGATTTGTTGCGGTCGACAAGCATGTTATCCATTGATGTCCTTTTCAAATTGAGCCCCTCCAAAAGTGCATCTACATCTTTGTCGTTTCCCTCAAGCTTCTCCATGAGATCTCTCATGTCACGTATAGAGTCCAGTCTGTATGTTTCCAACTGGTTTGTCAATTTGTTCAATTCATCTTGATAGTGGCGCTTGTACTCGGTCTGCGAGGCCATTAGGGCGTCATACGAAATCTTGAGGCGTTCATGTTCGGCTGTGGATGACGCAGAAGATTCTTGGAGATTTTCGCAGCGGATTTTGTAGTTTTTCACCGACTGCTTGAGAGACTCAGACTCCAGGCTCAAATCATCAAACTCGGATTCCAAGTCGACAATTCGGCGTTCCTTGCGCTTCAACAAAGCATTCACCATGTCATTTTCATGCTTACAGTTTGCCAACTGGTCCACTAGTGAGTCATTTTTGGAGGCCAAAATCGTTGATTTTTTTTTGTAGTCTCCACAAGACAAGCGGAGGACTTCTAATTCATGCTTCAAGTCGTCGATTTGCGAGTGAAGTGAGTCAATCACCCGCGAGGTGGACTGTTGCTTTCTGGGGCTATCCTCCATGACTGAAGCCGCTTAATTAAGATATATGTGGTTTCACTTCGTCTGTCAATCACTTGGTGGCAGCTTAAACAAAGTGATCAACAAAGCGTAAGAATACGTGGCTGGGAAAAGAGCTTTAAAAGAGTCGTAAACTGACCTTTTTCTAGTTTATTTTTCCAAGGGCCCAGTATTCTTCCAACGAAGCAGGCGGAGAATATCTTCACAAAAGCCGTATGCTGTAGGAAAGAATTACCTGTATGCTACCCAAAGTGTTCTTCGAGTGTATAAAAGGCAGCCGAGGTGAAACACCCGTACACTGCTAACGCCGAGTTTATAATCGTCCGGCTGCACTCTTGGAACAGAGTTGTAGAGAGGGCCAAAATGAGATGATCATTTTGATACTCTTCGGAAAGAAAAGAGCTCTCTTTACATGTATGTAGAATTTGTGGAGCATCGATATGAGAAACATGTCTATTGACATATGTGTGGGTGGTGTGTAGGCGCACGCGACACTTACCAGCCGGGACAGAAAATGGAGTGTAATCTTTCGACTCTCAGAGTGCATGCAAAGTGCCATATTGGTCGTTCAATACCAATCCCACACCTGGCTCACGCCCTTCAATTTTCTCGACCGCGATAAAATAGGTCTTATTATAAGTGACACGATTTTGCGTGGCGCGCCAAGTGTTTACACGTGTGGCCTGACCTAGCTCAAGATGGCTTCTCAGTCACATTAACAAAGCACAATTTGAAGTGTAACCTTTCAATTTTGCTCACGACAATAAAAGTACTCGCGATTTGACTACATATGCTCTGAGACTCGGCCCCAACGTGTCTTACTTTGAAGCGAAGGAAAATTAATTTAAAGACCATAGCTTTATACAAAAAAAATGTGTTTAGTGTCTTATTTTGCTCTTTGAAAAAAAGAAGCCTGCTGCCAGCAGAGTGCAAAGCCTTGCTTTTTGAAAAGAAGAAGCCTGCTGCCAGCAGAGTTCAAAGCCTGGATGATTTTCGCAATTCGGGTCTGCAAGGCCTGATATATAAACGAGGTCATGAAATTGTTTCTGCGGCCATTTCACCAACTAAAAATACGACAAAGGTTGGCGACATTCACGTTATACAAGACTATTAACTAGTGGATTATTAGATGAATCTTCCAAAAGAAAAATGTCCCAGGGCCTCAGACTTTTTGGCTGACAGATTAGCTCTCGATCGGTCAGAGTGACCCGAAAAGACTCTATTCCTACCGAGGTAGCTCGATTGAGCATGTTTAGGCGCTAGACCGGCATACCGGTCATTCGGTCCCTGGAAACGGAGAGAGGGCAGGGCGCCCGTCAGTGACGCGGAAGTAGCCCAATTAGGAGAAAATCCGTATTTTTCTATTGGTGCTACCGTCTTTTTTTCGGGCGCACAGGGTCTAGGTGCACACCAGAAAGTTTAGTAATCTTAGTAAAGCCAGTCGTCAAGATACTAAGATAGCCCCACGAAATTATAATTGCCAAGCCACGAAGACAGCCCCACGAAATTTTATCTGTATCCAGCCATGTGTGAAGTAATTGGCGAGGAAATAGAAGTACTCCTCAGTCATCATGTGGTTCATGATCTGATTGTCCTTAGAATCACACATTTTTAACGAATGAAGCAACAGGACTGTATGCGGCCAGAGTGCAGTGATTCTTCGCGGCGTCGCAGATGGATAACAAAGCAGGTTGAAAAGGCCAGGACCCTCAAATCGCAAATGCCCTCTATTCTCGTGATATCTTTGCTCAGAACACAAAAAAGTCTGGCCTTGAAACTAATTTGCGAAGCCATTTATTATGCTCGTTTGATACGGTGAAACCAAATATTTTACGAATTGAGCTTCCAATATGGCAAGACTGTTGAACCTTACGAGTCACGCGTAGATGCCGCTTACAGTATCGCATTAGTAAAACCAGTATTTTTGGCGAGGTGCGCGAGGACAGGCATATGAACCTGCACTCCGAACATATTGCTGTTTCCATCGTATTTATCCGCAAACGATGAAGCGATGACCACTGGTATTTAAAACCCCTGGCATCCCTTGCCTTCAAACTTTCTTTATTTTTCAAGGAGGTTACGATTTCAATCATTTCCGGCTTTTAATACCCTGACACGAGCTGACAAAATTTGTGTGCTATAAGCCTGTGTATTGAAGAGGCATATTCACCCTTATTATCAAATTTGCCACTGTGAGCCCGAATATGGCGAACACTGTCAGCGAAATTAAGTCTGTCACAAACGCAACTGATGTTGCGGCATCCGACTCGACCGGAACTCACGACTCCCAGATGACTCCTGCGGGCTCTGTCGCAGATTATGTCGTTAGCCCAAACTCGGCCAATTTTTTGAGTCAGGTCGAGACATTATCCCGCAGGATGTCCCGGAAATCTACCAGATCTGTTTACGATGGTGATTTGGAGGTGAATACTGATGATTTTGAGTTGCTGAAACTTTATAAAACCTTTCTTTACCATGCTGAACAAGAGGGTCTCATTCTTCGTGAATTGGGTGTGTCTTTTGAGAACTTGTCTGTCTATGGAAAAGACCAAACTTACACATACTTGCAGACCATGTCAGATGTTTTGAAAGGACCATATGGAGCCATCCGCTCTGCAAAGGAGGCCAAGAAAATTTCAGATCGCGCCATCTTGGACAGTTTTGACGGACTTGTCAAGAGTGGTGAGATGCTCTTGGTCTTAGGAAGACCAGGTTCTGGGTGCTCCACATTTTTGAAGACAATCAGTAACACCGACACAGAGATGTATACAGGCCTTGAGGGCGAAATTGTATACGACGGTATTGAACGGGACGAAATGTGGAAACATTTCTCTTCAGACTTGATCTACAACCCAGAGTTGGATGTGCACTTTCCTCATTTGACGGTCAAGCAAACTTTGGACTTTGCGCTTGCTTGCAAGACTCCAAATAAGAGGGTTAACGATAAATCCGTTCAAGAGCACATTGACTATAACAGGGACTTGTTGGCGACTGTTTTTGGGTTGAGACACACATACAGCACCAAAGTAGGAAATGACTACGTACGTGGTGTTTCTGGTGGCGAGAGGAAAAGAGTTTCGATTGCCGAGGCTTTGGCCTGCGCAGGAAAGATTTATTGCTGGGATAACGCCACTCGCGGTCTTGACGCTTCCACTGCATTGGAATATGCTCAAGCTATCAGGGTATCGACAAACTTGTTGAAGAAAACAGCATTTGTCACGATTTACCAGGCTGGTGAAAAAATTTACGAGACATTTGACAAAGTCACCGTTTTGTATAACGGAAAGCAAGTATACTTTGGACCTGTGACAGAGGCGAAGGCCTACTTCGAGAGAATGGGTTTTGAGTGTCCACCCCGACAAACGACTGCCGAATTCTTGACTGCTGTCACGGACCCGGCCGGAAGGTTCCCTTTCAAGGGAATGGAAGACAAAGTGCCGCAAACACCTGAAGAATTTGGCAACTACTGGAAAAACTCTCCTGAATACAGCAGACTTCAGCAAGATATCAAGAAATACAAGCAGCAATTTTCTACTGAAGAAACGAAGGCTGCTTTGCTTGAGTCTATCAAGCAGGAGAAGCAAAAGTACCAAAGAGTTGGCTCCAAATACACTGCAAACATCTTCCAACAGCTCAAGTATAACTTGAAGAGGTCTTTTCAAAACATTGTTGGTGATAGTGCGTTCACTGTGATTCAGGTCGCCGCTGCTATTTCACAAGCCCTCATCATAGGGTCACTATATTATAACACACCTGAAACTGTTAATGGAGCTTTCTCGAGGGGTGGTGTCATTTTCTTCTCAGTGTTATACATGTCTTTATCTGGGATGGCAGAGATTTCGAACGCTTTCGGTGCTATACCCATACTCATGAAGCAAAGAAACTATAAGCTCTATCACCCTGCTGCATTCGCCTTGGCCGATTCTGTTTCCTTCATCCCCGTTTCTGTCCTCACCAATATTGCATTTTCCTTGATACTTTATTTTTTGGCTAATTTGAAAAGAGAAGCAGGAAAATTTTTCACCTTTGTTCTTTTTACCAATTTGGTTTCCCTTGCGATGAATTATTTATTCAAGGCAACTGCTGCTTGGAACAAGAGTATCGCGGGTGCCAACGCCATAGGAGGTGTCTTTATTTTGGCCTCGTTGATGTATTCATCCTATATGATTCAAAGACCATCAATGCATCCTTGGTTCAAATGGATCTCATACATCAACCCTGTTCTTTACGCCTTTGAAGCCATGCTTGCCACCGAATTTCATGGAAGGAAAATGCCTTGCGATGCTTCCAGATTGACGCCGAGCGGACCCGGGTACTCTTCGACTAATAACACTGTGTGTGCTTTTGTCGGGTCCGTAAAAGACCAAACTTGGGTAGACGGAGACCGGTACATCAAGTTGTCATATGAGTATTCATTCTCACACGTATGGCGTAACTTCGGTATTCTTATTGGTTTTATCATCTTCTTCATCGGTGTTGGTGCTCTTGGATTTGAGGTAGTACGTCCGATAAACGGTGGTATCGATAGACTTTTCTTTTTGAGAGGTAAGAAATCCACCCAAATAGTTATGTCAGGAGAAGGAGCAATGGAGGATGAAGAATCTGGACCCGCCACGAGTGCCAACTTGGAAAAATCGAATACTTCTCCTGCAGAAATTCTCGATGACTTGTCTCTGAAAGATATTTTCGTTTGGAAAGACGTCAACTATGTGATCCCCTACGAGGGCAGTGAAAGAAAACTCTTGGATTCTGTTTCGGGGTTCTGCTTGCCAGGTGCCTTAACGGCATTGATGGGTGAATCTGGAGCAGGTAAGACTACGTTGTTGAACACTTTGGCTCAGAGAATCGATATGGGTGTGATTACGGGCGACATGCTAGTGAATGGAAAGCATTTGGACTCTACTTTTGTACGCAGAACTGGATATGTACAACAGCAGGATATTCACATGGCTGAGTCCACTGTGAGAGAGTCGCTTCAATTTGCTGCTAGAATGAGAAGACCCAAGTCCATTCCAGATGCTGAAAAATTGGATTACGTTGAGCAGATAATCAAGGTCCTTGACATGGAAGCTTATGCGGATGCCATAATCGGCTCCCCTGGTTCGGGTCTTAACGTGGAACAGCGCAAGAAATTGACTATTGGTGTTGAGCTTGTTGCGAAACCTTCGCTTTTGCTTTTCTTGGATGAGCCTACTTCAGGCTTGGACTCTCAATCTGCTTTGTCAATTGTTCAATTGCTTAGAACCTTGGCCAACGCGGGCCAAGCCATCTTGTGTACCATTCATCAGCCTTCTTCTACTTTGTTTGAAGAATTTGACCGATTGTTGCTCTTGAGAAAAGGAGGACAGACTGTTTACTTTGGTGACATTGGTGAGCACTCCAAAGACATCACCACATACTTTGAGAGCCATGGCGCAAGAAAGTGTTCCTCTGCTGAAAATCCTGCTGAGTATATCCTTGAAGTGATTGGCGCTGGTGCGACAGCTGCCAGTGAAAAGAACTGGTTCGACGTATGGCAATCATCTACAGAGAGGATCAAAGCCGAGGAGAGAATCGATGAGCTCATCGCAGCAGGAAGTTCTAGAGCTCCAATGACAAAGGACGACCCATTAAACAGCAAGGAACTTAAACTGAAATATGCTGCCAGTGTTTCTGCGGAGATGAAATATGTGACTTGGAGAACTGCATTGGCCTTCTGGAGAAACCCGGAGTACATTATGGCTAAGAATATGTTAATGTTGATTAATGGTTTGTTCATCGGTTTCACATTCTATGATTTGAAGCACACCACAACAGGCATGCAAAACGGATTGTTCTGTGGGTTTTTGTCTATGGTGGTCTCAGCTCCTTTGATCAATCAAATTCAAGCTCAGGCTTTGGATATCAGAGAGACGTACGAAGGAAGGGAGAAAATGTCAAACACATACCGTTGGTGGGTTATGGTACTTTCAGAATTTTTGAATGAAGTCCCATACACCGTTTTTGCTGCCACATTGTTGTACGTGCCATTGTTTTTTGCAACCAAGGCTGATACAGATGCGTCACACGCTGGTGTATTCTTTCTTTCATATGCGATTTTCTTGGAGCTCTTCAACATATCATTCGGTTTGATGTTGGCATATTTTGCACCTGATGTACAGTCCGCTGCTGTATTGGTATCCTTTTTTTACAGTTTCATTGTCTCCTTTTCTGGTGTTGTGCAGCCAGTCTCCCTCATGCCTGGATTCTGGACGTTCATGTACAAAGTGAGTCCATACACTTACATTATTCAGAACTTGGTTCTGTCTATTTTACACGGAAGAGTTGTGTCCTGCTCAAGTACTGAATTCTCTGTCTTTGATCCACCCAGTGGTCAAACTTGTGGCGAATATATGAAGGATTATCTTGAGACTGCGACAGGTTACCTCAGAGACGAAAATGCAACGTCCGATTGTGGATACTGCCCTTACTCGAATGCTGATCAATATCTTGCTACCGTTGGTATCAAATACAGCTATGTGTGGAGAAACATTGGCTTTTTCTGCGCTTACACCATTTTCAACCTTTGCGCCTGTCTTTTGTTGTATAAATTTGTCAGATTGACGAAGTACAATTTCTCCCTCTCATTTTTGAAGAATAAGAAGAAATGAGCGCAACCGGAATCAATCAGAAATTCGAATGTACATAGTTTTTAAGCCATATGCGATGATTTGTATTTTTTTTCCAAGAAACATAATATTATAGGGTGTCATTGTAGGGGTGTAAAACCCCACCGCTAACGAAAAACTGTAGAAAAAACCTAAAATAGATTGCAATATTGGCTCAGGTGAGAAGGCGCGAGCACCAATTCACGAACTCTCCCGAAGAGAATGTGACTACTAAATGCCATCGTCCCATAGAATATGTTTTCCTGAGGGCTCGTGACCATAGTTCATTTGACAAGGCGGCAAGACGTGCATTTGTCTTTGCCTCCTGGTCCCTAAGCAAATAAACCCTGCGAACGACTTTAACAAACCAGTTAAGGTTTCTTAAATTTTCAAAGGAAGAATTCAAAGAGCTAGCATCTCCTTTAAGTGTATTGGAGCTTGAAAGCTGGTCTTTTGCCACCAGTGCACAATCTCACACTCATTGTAGAGGTAGGTTGACTTCTGCTCGCCATAGCAGCGTTTCAAACACAACCTAAAGTCGAATCGTGACTTCTTAAATTCATCATCATGAAAGGGAACATAGGAATCATGATTGAATAGATTGCTGGCGGTCGGATACTTTTGTACCGCCATTCTTGTTTGTTTAATTCTTTTCGTAATTTTCTCCAGCGTTTCATCGCCATTTTTTCTTTTTTTTTTTGGAAGATTCATCTGATCAAAGGAGCAAAACATATATAAAAAGCCTTCAAACAGCTCTAAGATTCGTACCAAGTGTCTTAGCTCGGCCCGTCCCCTTCCGTTAGTCACGGCCTGGACGGTCCTCATGGCACGTATCTGTTTACGTATTGGATATTACGTCATCGACTCCTAGGATAGGTCTCCTGTAGTAGTCGCTTCAACTCAGATGGTTGTAGCGGATTTAAGGAGCCCACTTCCTGCAACATCAGCAATACTAGAAAACTTTTAGTCATTAAGATTGGAAGATACCTGTAGATCAAGAAAGAGTCCTCCAAATGATGCATAGGCTGAAATATAACTTAAACATAGTAAATATGATTTTTCAATGCCGATACGAAACTCAACAAGGTCCCTTGGCCCAGTTGGTTAAGGCGTGGTGCTAATAACGCCAAGATCAGCAGTTCGATCCTGCTAGGGACCATTCTGGGCGTGTGGCGCAGTTGGTAGCGCGTTCCCTTAGCATGGGAAAGGTCTCCGGTTCAAATCCGGACTCGTCCAAAATGTTTTTTTAACCTTGGCAAGAGGAACGGAAATCTTTTGTCTTCGTTCCTTGCCTGGTGATTTTTTATGGATGGAGAAAAATGCTTTCCAGTGCCGCTACCCGCAAAGGGGGTACGTAATTGTTAGCTCTCTAATCTGTCAATACGTTCTGTTTTTGTTCCTTAATCAGATAAATTTTCCAAAAGATGGGCGAATGTGTAGTTTCGTACTAAATTCGTTTTTGAGAGTTCGCTGAAGCCTTTTCAATGGTGCGTTCATGACTCGTATGATTTATCTAGCGAAAGAGTGAGAAGTAATTGTTATAAATGATGAGCTGTTTAAAGGGTTTTTATATATGTATTAATTATATAGTTTTGCTCCTTTCATCAGATGAAAAAAGGAGAATATGTTCGACCTTGCCGATCTGGAATGATATTCAGTTCTTTGCTCCTGGATGGCAAGGACCTTCAACGTTTCCCCTCTAGATTAATCCAACAGAAATGAAAAGACCCTGGATCCCTAAGTCTCAAAGCGACAATACTAATCGACTCTCACAAAAAATGAGGACTGTCTGTATAAAATACAAATGAGAAAGTTTGTTGAATTGCGGAAAAGAACAGATCGGAAAGGACGTATAACTTCTTCACTGTAAAATCAAACTGAGTATGGTTTCCTACACTCGGTGTCATTATGAACAAAGCCATACCAGTATACATAGTTTCGTACGTAAAAGGATAGTCTTTTGGTAGTCCTTTTGAAAAAAGAAGCTTGTGGCTGCCGGGAGCAATGCCGTTCTGAAGATTTTTCGTGAGAGACACGAAGAAAATATGATATTAGGAAGTGCAATCACTTCATACAAAAAAAAGTTTACATCCAATATGTGAAACCTGCCAGCAGATTAATACTTGTTTTCCAGTTGCCGCTTTCGCTCCAACGAAGATATCTTGGACGCTAAAATTTGCATCCGTTTCGCTATACTTTGTGAAATAAGTGTTTGGTGCTTGATCATTGCAGCAAACTCCTCAATGACTATGATACTTTTTACAACGAGAAGATGAAATTGCCATGCAATTGTCTGACATGTTAATCTTTCCGAGCTGAGCCTTGTCAAGCTCAACTTCTCAGTCAATTCAGTACTAAGCGTGGGTATGTCCATCAGGTGAAACTGCGACAAAAGATTATAGCACTCAATAATGGTAGGGTAACTGATAAGAATCAGCTCTTGTTTCTCTGCGTTGACCATTGTGGTTTCGTCTAAGGAAAACCCGCCTCTTACTTGCACACTATCCTCAGGGTCTCTAGGTTCATTAATGACCGTGTCGGAGTTCTGGTGGCTTTCAGTGGTATTCAAGACTGAGGGATGATAGTTATCAGGGTCTTCACGGTATGTTTGGATTATCTCCTGTAGACCATGCAATTCAGGATTTTCGATGAAGATGCGATCTACTTTCGCCTGTAAATTCGCAAGCCTAGAAACAAGGGATTTATCTTCAGCTAAAGGCGGTTTGGCAGATTTTGTCCAGTGCTCGCCAATACCCACATGTAGTTCTAGAGCAGCAATCCTATTCAACAAAGCATCTGACGTCAAGCCCATATTTATATTGAGTGTTTCTATAGTACTTAACTCTCCACTCCGTAGGGCGCGACTTATTTTTGGCGATCCAAACCCTATATGCATTTCTGGCCATGCAGACCCAAGAACCTTCCAAGCCCTGACCTGAGACTCAAGGAAAATCTGGTGCCATAATATGAAGAAGAATACGTGTTCTGAGAGAAGGTTCTGAAATATCCCGAATTTAAGGGAAAAAAGTTTTTTCTCCATAGTCTTTTTCGCTGCGTTGTCAGCAATTTTCGTGCAGAAACCTATTCTTCCTCGCTACTACTCAAGTAGTCAGTTTTCTCTGCACCGTATAGCTCACGCAAGCTCATGGGCTTGCTTTGTGGAGCCACACGCTGTAGTTTCAGGGATATCCCTGTTTTCTTTTCCTCGCCCACGTCGATTATGATTGGCGTGCCGGCGAACGCCCCGGTATCGGAGTCATCGTCACTGTCTGAATCGATCAGATTTGGTTTTGCATGATCATCGACTAGTACCTCGTCAAGTTGGTCTTCGAGATCAGCAAACTCGTCACTCATATCGATGTCATCGTCTTTTTCGTGATCGTGTATATTATTCTCCAGCCCCTCACCACTAGTCCCGGGGGTTTGGTTGTCGTGACCTAGTTCCACCTCTCTGGGGCCAGAGCACCCCTCGCCTCTTGCAACAGGATCTTCTTTCGAATTCTCTGTGGAAGGCGGCGTGCTCCTTTTTGTAGATGGAGCATCAAAGATCGGGAATGCATCCTCTTCATCACTCTCGAGATTGTCAAAATCAGATACACTGATGATGTCTTGTTCGGTGTCCGGTTTCGCAGCTGGGGGACGCTTCGATGCAGCAGCTCTTTTCACAGCAGGCTCCGGACCACTTCGGCTTGGGCGGCTGGATGAAGAAGTGCCATTTGTACCTTTTCTAGCCGGCGGATTCACCGGCTTTCTTTTCAAAAGCACGGACAGCACGTGCGGGGATTTTTGCTTCACAGCCAGAGACAGCTCAGGCGCCGCTTTCTCGGCCTTGGCGACGGGGCTGTTTCGCCACTGCCTGATGGATTTGCGCCATTTGTCGGCGTTCCGTGATTTGTTGACCCGCACTGTGCTTTCTAGGCGCCTAAGCTGTACATTCAATAGGCTCCCCGTGCCGTTCTTTTCTGCCAGCAGAAAAGAGAGAAAGTACGAGTATGGCACAGACGACGCGCCGCTCTGAGTGGGCCGTTGTCTTTGTGGCACGCCCTCAAAGATGATCGGGACCAGCTCGCTTAGGTTAGCCCGTTCAATCAGGTGGGCCTCCAAGATACAGACCTCATTCTCCTGGAAAAGCGTGAGCAGATTGGACTGGTCCATGGAGTCTGGAATGAAGCCATATCGTATCGCTAGCGAGGGCACATCTGCAGTTTGGGGGCTGTCGAGCACCAGGAGATCGATGTCATATTCTCCGTCTGGTATGTTCATCTTTTGAGAACTGGCAGGAACAGCGGGGTGTGATAGATCACCTTCGCTGCAGATGTTACTGAAAAAAAAAAAGATCACCAAAAGCGAAATTTGATTTGCACAGCCGCAGAGAACGATTTCGAGGGCCTTTGGAATTCGGCTGGAGAATGATGCCTGGCTCTTCCGCAGAAAGAAGAAAGTCCAGGCTTCGCAGGGCCTCGCAATTTGAGGCCGCCAGCCCGGCCAGTGACACCTCCGCCGCGCTTCAAATGCAAACGTGGATCGGGCACACGCACTGCAATTACTACGTCCGTAGACTACGGTATTTAGACAAAACCCCCCCAGGAAATTGATGACATAGACCACGAAGCAATCTAGAACAACAAGGGCAAGCCACGCAAAAGTGGCGGGGGATCACCGGCCAGAACCCAACTTGCAATGTGCCGTCTATTTTGCTATTTGCCCTGGTGCGTGCCAGGGCCTGAGTGCCGGAAGCCGTCTCTGGGCCCTCTCCTCTCGATTTGGCAGCGGGGCGCGACTAATTCCATACCCCTCATACTTCTGGCACAGTACTTGCCATTGATTTCTCCCGAATGCATGACACGGGCCTGAACATGAGCAAGAGTGCCCGGCCTTGCAGCGGTGCGCTCAGCTCTATCAAGCCAGAATAACACCAAGGCCCTATTCTGTCAATCTGGCTAACCGGCTGAGCCTGCGCCGGCCCCACTTCATTGATCGCTGCGCGGCGGCACGGGTGCAGGACCGAAGGCTCTGATCTACTGGGTGCACGTTTTGAAGAGCTCTCATCAAGACGGATTCTCCTTCTCCACGCGTGCCTTTCCTTGAGCGCACTTTCCACGTGCGTCAGGATGTCGCAAGCAGGCCAAGAGACAATCAGCATATACCACCCGAAAGTGCTTCTTCTATCGGGCGGTGTGACTGCGGGCGCGTTCTTTTCATTCCGATTCTATGGCCGGTTCATACGACGCAGGAGAACTTACTTGGACTTGACGCCAAGGATTTTGGATGGACAACAAAAACTTCGAGGCAGGGTGACCAGAGTGGGCGATGGCGATAACTTCCGATTCTACCACACGCCCGGAGGCGCGTTGATGGGGTGGGGCTGGGCTCGCAAGGTTCCCGAAAAGAGAAAGGACTTGAAGAATGAGACTTTGATGATAAGATTGTGTGGTGTCGATGCTCCCGAAAGAGCCCATTTTGGAAACCCGTCTCAGCCTTTCTCCGAAGAGGCACTATGGTGGCTACAGAAGTATTTGATGGGCAGGTCGGTGACCATCACGCCCTACTCAATAGATCAATACAAGCGCGTGGTGGCGCGAGCCCAGGTTTGGAAGCTCACCGGGAAAAAAGACGTCAGTGCCGAGATGTTGCGAAATGGGTTGGCTGTCGTATACGAGGCAAACCAAGGCGCAGAATACGGCGAAAACGAGCACTGGTACCGGAAGCTTGAAGCAAAGGCAAAGGCCAAAAAGCGAGGCCTATGGTCCCAGGGCCGCAAGCTAGTCACTCCTGGCGATTTCAAGAAAAACAACTAAAATCCTGGTTTCTTTCTATTCAATATCCGGCATACGATCTTGAGGAATGGAAATACAATTCATTGGGTAGTTATTGGAGCAAGAAGCTGACTTCGTCGCTCAAGCGGTCAGCATTAGCTCTTGTGTCTGCCTCAGCATATACCCTAACTGCATCCTCAGTTCCGGAAGCCCTGACGAAGGATCTTCCTTGAGGATAGCTAGAGATAATAGCATCAATCTCCTTTTGCATCCCTTCTGGCTTCACCAAAGTTCTTTCCGCATTTGTGGTCTCGAAAATGGTTCTGTCGGGCACAACAACCTTCACCAATCTGTTGGGTAGGTCAGTGTACTGTTCGTCCCAAGTAGCTGGAGTCAAATCCAAGTAGTACAAGACCACCAAAACACTTAACAAGTCCGAAATAGCGTCACCCACTGTTTGATTGATGAGTTTCGTGAATTGCTGCAAAATCCGTATCGCCTGTTCTTCTTGCTTTCCAACCGGCTTGAACCCAAAGATTTTTTCCTCTGCCTCAGGTGAAAAAGTAACCGTTCCATGGCCATTGGCTTCAAAGTACACACCCACATCATACTTCTCGGCCTCATGATGCAAATGCTTGACCCCGGTAGGCGTACAGCGGACGGGAATCTTCAAAACATCCTCCACATATTTGGTGGATGATCCGTTGGCATATGCAGTCTGGACTACAGCAATATCGAGAGACAACTTGGAGGTGTCAATGTCAGATAAGAGTCTCTGCAAGAAGAGCGCAAGCAAGGTAGCAATCTTATCACCGTCCAACAACTTGAACTCGCCATTGCTGTTTTGATAGTAGTGAATCAATCTGTCAGCGTCACCATCGAAAGAGGCGTACAACTTATTTGGCTGCGCATCAACGTTCTGAGGGAGTCTCTGGTTCGTCTTGACAAAGTCGGCACCGCAGTTTGAATTGAGCTTCTCTGGCTCATCATAGGCCGAGTTAACAAAAGAGTAGGTGAGCTCGTTGGATAGGTAGTTCTTGAATAGCTCTTCCACCTTGGGCGCACCGATTCCGTTTGCTGAGTCGACAGTAATATCAATCTTCTGACCGTTGCCAAAGCTGTGAATAGCCTTGAATGCAGCTGCCAATTTCTCGTAGTAGCCGGTCTCCAGGGCCTCGCCATAAGCTACGTCATTCAACGTGCGTGTGATATAATGCAATTGCGGGGTAGTCATCAAACCTTGGTCTACTTTTGTTGTGAAAGGGAGAGAATCAATGCCATCGAGAGTGGCCTTCGATAATCTTGGCGAGGACTCTCTGGAGTCTCTGGCAATAACAACAGACGCCTGGATAGACATATCAATTCCGAGCTCGCGGGCAAGTTGCTCGATATTTTTGGCTAACTCCGCTGGCAACGTGTTTGCCAAAAAGGTGGCGTGTTTCTCCCATGAGGCCTCCAACATGCTACCCATGGGATCCACGATTTTCACCCCGTTATCTTGTGGAGGGTTGTGTGATGCTGTAATCATGACGCCTACTGTTTTCCCTGCTAAAAATTTCGACCTCAAAGCAGCAACAATGCCCACCGTGTAGTTGACATAGTCCAACAAGTCCGCATGCATTCTGAACCCAGCCGTGCCGTACGTATACGTGACATTCTCTGGGCGTGGGTGAAGCACTGACTTCTGAGAGATTCTTTCCAGCAATGTCATGAAAAATTAGAATGGTTTTGTTATTCCTCCGCTTGAATTTCAACAAGGGTCAGATATATTTAGAACTCTGGCATATTCTATGCTCGCACCGGCCTCGAGCCAAGCTTAGAGAACTGCGCGTATGGGGACCGGCATATACCGAAACACCCCGGCTGACTGAATCGGAACTGGAACGAACCATCTGCTGACGGCACCACTTTCCTTTCTAACATTTGTACCTATGAAAAAGCCAGGAACATTCGGCACATCAGTGCCCAAAGGCGATTTTTCTCGTCTTTCTGGCCAGCGGTTGGAAGACGCGAAAAAATCCGCATTTTTTGAAGAGATGGTAGAGACAGGCCGTCCCAACTGGAAAAAGGCGCCCCCCGAAGTAAAAGCCCGTTCCCGAGGCGTTTTCTTGATTCTTCTATCGATTCCTGTTATTCTTGTTCCCGGGTGGGAAATATACAGACGACTTTCAGGAAGATCGACCAAGAAGGTCCAAGTGGGTGAGCTCGGCGACGATAAATCCATCAGAAAGTTCGATGAAATTGAAAAGTGGGAGACAGAGAGGGACAGTATTTTGTACAAGATATTTGGAAGGGATTTTTATCTCGACGGATTCACAGCTAAAACAATGAAACAAGACGAGCCTACTGAAGGAACCGTGGATGTTTCCGCATTGAAGAAATAAACACCAGAGCAGACAGGCTCATGCATTAGCCCATAAATCTCCATTATTTGCAAGTAGATTTATTACGGAAGTTGTTATTTCCACCGTTTCCTCAGGTATTTTAGGGGAGGCGTGAGGTTCTGTTCGTCATATCTCGAGCCCATCGAAGATGCAGGCCTCAATGGAGAAGTTGATCTCCAGCTAACGGGCGATACGACACCCGCCGACGCGTCACTTGAGTGCGCTAAATCTGGCGTTTCCAAGCCGTTCAAGGAGACATTTCTGGCGGGCGCTTTCAAACGTGGTTCATGTGCACTTCTATAGTGTACATTGTTCGATTCCTCGCAGTATTCTGTTTCTGGAATAACATCCTCTTGATTCACACTCTTCTTTTTTCCAAAAAGAAACTTTGGTTCCATCGTCAATCCGCCCCCAGTCCGGGGAGCTTCTGCGCTTGGGAACAGTGCATCTGCAACTTCTCGAGACTTTCGAGAAGCTGTCGAAGCTTCGAGGTTTCGACGACGATCTGGGGAGCAGAACACTTCATTATCGGGCGAGATTGTAGGAAGCCTAGATTGACCAAATTGAGACCCAATTTTCTTCTTTAGCATTGGGAGCTTCAAGTTTGTGTAATTGGGGACAATGGTGGGTATTCTGGACGGTGTCGAGCTAGTTACCCTGAGTTTTTGAATTAGTGACTTCTTTTCCTCAATAGTCAAGACCTGTGTTGAATTTTCTGTGAACTTTATTGAGAGATCATCGATTTGGTCTCTGTAGGGTGTAGTTTCTGTTGTTACCAGATGGTTGAACTGCGCTGGGCTCTGCAATGAGAATATGTCCGGAGTATTGGGGAGTGAGAGTCGTTCATCATGCTTTGTTGGTTCTTTTGTGGTGCAGCCTGTATCTGACAGGTCATCATTTGCAGATTGCAAAAGAGCCAATTGAAAACTGCTACTTGGAAGACTGCTAGTACCCAAATCCAAGTCAATTATGCGGTCTACCGAAGTACTGTATGGTACTGAAGGTGAGGGCTTGATTCCAAGATGTAGATTTATGCCAAGCCCCACAGTGCGATGGCTTGAAGAAGCAAAATCATGCTCACGGGTCACTTCCGCCTGCGGAGTGTGTGATCTGAATTTTCTCATGGCACGTGGCGAAGTATGATTGCTTTTAGGAGTTTGAATCAACGTAGGCTTGAAAGTATGATTGAATGGCAAAGCTAGTTTTTGCTCCTCCTCCAAGATGTTATTGATGTGTTTCCATTTAGGAACAATTTCCAGGTTGAATTTGTAAGCGCAACCTTGAAGACCGGGCATTCCAGATGATGATATTTTACGGATCAAAGTGATCACAGCAGAACATTTTTTGAATGTAGGTCCAATCTTCTCACGATTTATATCGCTCGTATCAAGATCTTCCATGATCTCAGCAATCATCGTCAAAACCTGGGTATTCAAATACTTGTATACAGATACAAGTCTAGCACCTATTGTATCATTTTTTAGGCGGGCAAAGTCTGAGACTGAGAATGACCAGTTTTTGGAAATGCCGCAGGCATTTGCTCGGATGTTCTCGCATTCAGCTGTAAAGAATCCACCTGAGCTATTGAGATCTGCAACTTTACTCGTGAGCATGTCAATAGATACCTGCATTGGCGATATCTGACATTCCAATGACTCAAGCTTCAGACAGAACAGTCTTTCTGAAACTGTCAAAGCACACAAGGGTGAATTACATGCGAATAACTCTTGTGTGCTCAAAAGAGAAATTGAGGACAAAAATTTCAGAAGCGACTCGATTTGGAGGTCTGCCTTCGAATCAAACGGCGAAGGGGTTTTCTTTAGCTCCGAAAATCGAATGTTCCATTCAGCTGTTTTTTTTCCAAGCTGGGTTAAGACCAGTTCTCGAAGATCAATCAAGTTCGTGGCCTTTTCAGCAGACTTAGATAAGTTCGTAACCTTACTCAAAGTGTCCAATAACGCTAACGTGGCGATTTGTAGCTTCTTTGTCATTTCCTGATACAGTGTCAGATCAAAAATGGAAAAAGCTGAACGTAAAAAGACATCGATTTTCCCGCAAATGTTTGTCATTTTGAATATATCATGGCGGCGTTCATGGAAGAATGACGGGTCCTTTTCATGCTCGAGTGAATCACAGGCGCAGTCTTTTAGTTCAGTCATGAAAGACGATACATCTTGCAAAATTTTGTCTACTTTGACAAGCTCATATTGACCACAGCCCTTCACGGTATCGCCAATCCAGTTTTCCAATAGATTTTCAATATCAGAAACAGTGGAAACCGGTAGTAGGTGTTCTGAATAAGACATGCTCATTCTTCATTTTTTAAAAGCCCGTATATACAGAGTATGAGGTAAAGTTTTAAACGTCGTAGAGAAGTATTTTTGATAATGTGTGTCTCAATAGAACAGGAATATGGATGTATTTGAGTAGAAACGAGCTCTCGAGTGCTGGTTTCATGTGTTTACATTATACAAAATATGACACCTGCATGCAGTACACAATACCTTTGTTTTCGTGGACAGATGTGACAGCGCGGTTTCGAATATCAGGCTCCGGCAGTAACAGCAACATGGTGGAATAATGATATTCACAGTTTCATTTATTCTCTTGATGACCAAAGGTCAGAAGATTTAGAAAGATTTTGACTTGAGTTGGCATCAAGAATATTCTTGAAATATTTAAATTACTGATTCCAGGCGTTTCTGTTACCGTTTACCGTGGACTGCGCGTCGGGTTTCGCTCCGCTTTTGGCCGAGCATGGGTGCAAAAAAGATGGCCTTCACAAGTAAAAGTAATCATTTCTTTTGCAAAAATTCAAGAGGCGACACAGTTAGACTAAAGTTTTGTACAACTGTGAGTTTTTTTTGTAAGCTCTACTTTATCGTCTAACCGTCCGTCTGAGATGGATCCTCAGGCCCTTCTAGTTTCACAGTTTGTGTACTGGCCTCCTGGGTCTGACTTTCAAGAAATTCACCTAATACCGAGAAATCCCTCATCAAGATCCCATTCGACAGGCATGAAACAAGATTTACGTGTTTTAATTGACGAAGATCATGAGATAAGTTTCCCAAACTCATATGTCAGTGATGATTCTCTCCGAGCATATCACACCAAATCTCGGCCCGAAACTTCATCGTCGTGTTATTCCGAGACTCCAAGAGAATCACAAACAGATGAAATTATTTTTGATCATGACAATCCAGCCAAACTTTTCCCATATGTTGGCATCTTAGACTATTCACAAATAAGAATATCAAGATTGATTCCCCAAAACACTTTGCACACCATCGATCCTGACCAAAAACACTGTCTTGGCTCCATTTTAGAGTCAATTTATAAACCTAGAATAAGGAGTATAAAACGAGGAAAAATTTCGCTGCCACAGAATGTATTTATTTCGTCGAAACATGCATTCTCCCGGTACTATGGCTCCAATCGTTTTCAAAGACAGGATATTCAAGACTTTGAAATTCTTTCTTATTCATCATATTTTGATCCCCCTAAGCCAGTGAGCCCAAATCCAATATTTGTTCTCATAATTATATCTATTCTCTCCGTTGGGTTTCAGTTTGTTCTTTTTTCGGCATCAAGCCCGCCAGTATTACAAACTACGAGCTCGAAAGATAGTATGAAGATTACCATTAACTCTAGAGGGAAACACTTACAGGATCTTCGAAAAAACCTTAAAAACTTAATTGGTAAGATGTGCTCTGCTATTTTCATGAAACATTTTCTCTATTCTTCAGTAAGAAACCCAAAAAACGTGCGAACTAAATCAAACATATCAACTAACAATTCAATTGAGAGCACTCCTCCATGTGTCTTGGGAAGAAAATGTGCTGATACCGACAACATCAAAGATTCAAAGCAATACCCTTTACCTGAATCCTTATGTAGCGGATTATCTGAAGATTTAAAGCTTTTCCACTCAGCTCAGCAACCACAGCAGCTCTATGCACATATCTACAAGAATCAAGGGCTAGATTGGTTACTGGAGCTTGCTCATAAATCTTCAGCGACGGTTTGCAAACCAGACCTGACAAACGTTATGACTATATCCTCTTCTGAAAAAACATCGTCTGCTGATCTAAAGCACGATCTGTTGAAAGAAGAAGGACTTAGCACAGTTCAAGTTCCTGTTGAGAACTTTATACTGATGATGATTCCGGATAATGCAGGGTTCTCGAGGGAGAATTTTCAGGATAATACAAGCCTGAAGCTTCATTTGATAAAACCCAATGACACTGTCTACTACAAAAAGACAAGTATATTACAAATTTTGCGTTCTGTCATTAGTGAAACAGACTCAAGCTTGGAATGTCGAGATTTGTACAATAGAAATGGTGAGATGCGGTTGGAGAAGTCTTTTTTGAGAAAAAGATTTGTTGAACGTAATTCCCCAGCTAGCCTTGAAAAGAATTCAAAGCTCCATAGCTCTATCCCAAAGAGCAGAAAGAGCTTCGTTGATTCTCAAATTCTAAATAGCTCCGAATTGAGCTCTACAGTTGAGTTCAAGTCAAGTATTGCATCTACGAGGCGGATAAACAAACTAAAAGAGGAGGGAAAGAATACCACATACCGTCGAATACACCAAATGCGTTTGCGAGCAAAAACTTCAAAATGTTCAAAAGAGCTTAAATCTCGTGTGAATGCCTCATGCACCTCCACTTGTACCAAAGATGGATGCACCTATGAATTGCCCTGTTCTCTCAGATTTGTCGAGTCTAATGGAAACAAATCTAATGAAACAGACTCTGGTAACAAGAAAATTCTAACTAAACGATACTTTGAGAGATGCCTGTCATCAGAAAAAATGGAAGAAGTTTCAACAAGATTGTGCCTTAGTAGTCATTCTAGTGGCTCTATACGGTGCAACTCTTCACTACTATGTAAAAATGGAGCAATGCTGGGAGCCAAAGAGATGCGAAATGAATCTAAGTTTAATGATTTTTTATTGGAATTTCCCAGTAGCTCTTCGGAGTTGAGTGTGGCAAGATCAGTTTTCGAAGCTCTGTTGGTCAATGATTTGCTACCGTTGAACATTGATTGTCTTGACGACCCTGTTTGTGCACTTAATGTTGGATCGCCCACCAGAAATCCTCTGGTGTTTGAAGAGATCACTAATGTGAAATCCGAGGAATTTGATTGCACACCTACTTTGGCTTCGCAAAACAATGGGGATTTAAAATTACCGAAAAGTATTTCAGGCGACGAAAAAGAGATATCAATATCAATCTACCCACCCCATTCATTGCGAGGTGACAAAGTTGAAGGTAACCTTCATAACTGTTACCATGAAAAAATTTCGAAGACAACACCAAATTGGGGCGATTTAAAAACCGATGTTTTGTACATTTGCTCCAATACTCCCCTGTCTGAATCTCAAAGCTGCTCCGAACACACGAAAACTTTCTTATTTAATCATTTTGATAAAAAAAATCCAAAAGTGCCATGCAATTCATCTGAGAAGAAACACCCGATACAAGAGGATAGTATTCACCAAAACCTTGAAAAAAGTACCTCTTCAAATGATTGGAGCTCCTTCTCTATAACAGAAACCGCTTTGAACTCCAATTCTAGCAAGCTGTGTTCAGCATCAGAATATCCCCGAACAATTCAATTGAAGATGCCAACACACAGTGAGAGAGCTTTCACAGGCCCAATCAACACTACTGGCGAATTTCTGTCGGATTCGGACGACTCCAGAGAGTTTACCAGAGCTGATTTGTCAAGTGAATTCCCCAAGTCAATTCTAATGACATGTAAGAAACAATCAAACCGAGAAATAAAAAGGGTTCGCTTTTGTTTCCCACAAACGCCTTCAATTCCCGCCATTCCCGAAGAGTTTTCAACGAGATTGCTTTCTAATGATCTAGGACTTTCTTCCAAATTTAAAGCATCAGTTGAAAGTGAGTGCAAACGTCAGGATAATGTCCGGAAGACGCTATCTTTGAGTTTGAGGCCTAAGTCTACATTCTCCGAATCAAGACAAGAGAGTAGCCTTCCAAAATCAAAGATTAGCTCGAAGCCCTCTTTAATTTGTTCCACACTTTTTGATATAAGAAAAGAAATCACTTTGCAAAATATTCATCCTCAAGTTTTGATTCTGACTTTGAGTCGAAATGGAGAAGTATTTTGCAATCGTTTTCAATATCGCAACGGCGTTTTGAAAGCTGTTTCTGGTGAAAATGCTGATTACTGGGAATGTGCTTAGCCTGGATTCAATCTATCTTTGAATATCTCTAAAGTCAGTTTTTTTGTATTTTCTATGTCCTTTCAAAGTAAACTATCTTTCTTTGGATGTGCGTTACGTTTCTTGCAACCTGTTTCCTACGAAATACTATGGAATTCAAAATTTGGTGGGCTTCATAATTCTCATGGAAGGATCTTTTCAAAGCTATTGCAAATCTTGCGAAATGTCTTTGCCAGTCTGAGACTAGGAACTCCAGTGTTAAAAGTTCGAAATGATCTTTTAATTTTAGGACGTATTCTTGCATGACATGATTGTAATCAATGAATTCCAGATGTAAAATTTCAAACTTTTTCACAATTTTTTCATTGAGTTTTTGGTGGTTGTCTACAAGAGCACAAAACTGATTGAGCTCGTAGAGCTTTGACTCTGCTATTCTTCTTTTAGACAGGAGGGTCTCGAAAAATTCAGGTAGCCCCTGTAACATCATTTTGGTCTCCAGAAACTTTCTTTCCAAAACTTCATGTTGTATATGACTTGCCTTCAGCTCCGAAGAGTCGATCAACTTTCTTAAACTGTCAAACTCTTTTTCAACGGGCTCAAGCATTCGTGAATAGGAATGTGTGTACTGCAAAAAGTCACTAGTAACTCCCTGTTTTGTCAATATTTCCCTACAAGTTTCGCATAATTTATTCTGGATAGCCTCCGAATTGTTCTGAAAATTTAATACGTCATTTTCAATGGCCCTGAATGCTTGTCTAAAATTATCTGTCATGAAAGCTCGAAAGCTCATTTTTTTTGGGACCCACAAAGGCGGAAAGCACCAGTTCTTAGATGCTTCTACTATATCTCCAATATCAGAAGCCTCCAAAAATGAGTCGCACCATAGCAAAGTTTCATTTCTTACCAGATATTCTTGTTTTTCCAGTAATATAGTGCTTCTGATGTTCAGACTCCGAATCGTTTCTGCCATCGAGGATGTATCATCAGTATTCGAAGAAAAAGCTTCCAATTTGGTAATTTGGTATGGTATTATTGGTCCTTTGAGTCCAAGTCGCTTTTTGAGCAAGTCCTCGTAAGTTGTAGGTGTCTCACTAGTCTTGTGGTCGTAATGATAAAGTGTGCTTCTTTCACTTAATTGTTGCTCCTCGAGTTTCTTTTCTTTTAATCTCTTTTTTCTTTTTGCTCCTTGTAATTGCACTTTTTGCAAATTGTTTTGATCCAAAGCTGCAGATTTATATTTTGGGACTTTTCTTGGCGATTGTGGTTCTGTTCCACTATTGCAACTCGGTTTTACTGGAGACCCATACGATCTCACGGAGAAAAGAAGATCCAAAATTGTTCTCGTGATTTTATGAGTAGCACTTGTCTCTTCAGTGTATATGCTACTCATGTTTGATTATCAATGTCCTCAGATGAAACACTGAAGGCTAGGTGGTATTTTGAGCGAGGGGACATCACAAAAGTAAAAGGCTGCGAAATAAAGACAGCACACGTTCTCCAGCAAAGCAGATTTATAGATTCACATTTCAGATATTTTTTCTTTCAGTTCAGTCTTGTGTCCTTGTAGCAGAGATAAATTGATCCACTATGTTTATTCTGGATCTTTATGATATTTTTGTAGTCTTGAAATTGACACATCCAAGCAATGAGTAAATCGCATTGTAGCTTGATAAATATGTTATATTTTGAAAAGCATTTTGATAGCGAAACTTGACTTATCATAAGCTATATTAGTCTAAAATAAATTGCAACTTCTTTCATCCAACGTTAATCTTCTAAGGCTAACAAAAATCACACCGCTCGAATCATCATACTAGCATGAAAGCGAATTTTTATTGTCATCCAAAACAGTTCAGGTCATTTGAATCACTTAAGAAACTTGTTTGTTATTTCTTCCAAGAGATTTCAACTTACCGTTCGCTTCCATTCGAGTGATCGACCACTAAAAACTTTTCTTTCGAGTTCGCTGCAAATGAATGTGTATCCAAAGACAGAGACAAACTGATGGAGTCTGACAGATTTTCTTCGATTTCTTTGACTGTCTCAAAAATTTTCTTAGAAGCCGTCGTCAAGTAATCACACAAATACTTTATCTTTTGTATTCTGTCAAAAGGCACAGTTGCCATAAACATGTCGTGTCTTGCCTTCAAGGATTCATATACTTCTGTCAAAGAACATTCATAGTTTGCCCAGGCTGACAAGGTTCTAAGAAGGTCTGACCCAGAGTCAATAGCATGAATGACTTGAGTAACGCTCCTTTGAATATTCTGCGAATTTTTAACTGCTTCAGAAACCTCGTCTCTAAGATCTTGGATGACTATCGACGAACCTTCGGTATGAATTTGTGCTTTCAACTCCTCCACAATTTCCAATGTTGTCTTTATTTTGCGAAGAAGTGTGGGAATCGACAAACAAGAATAATTCACATCATTGATATAATATTTGATGGCATTGTAGGCTTCTCGCTTCCTAAAGGTTATACAAAACACTGGGTTTAATGGGTTCTGGAATTCTTCTTCTAAGAATAGTGCAACTCTATGACTCGCTCTAATAATGAAAGCTTCATCAAGGAATGCTCCTAGTTCAGATGATCCGGAGATCAGCAGATCCAGTTTGATAACAAACCTTTTTCCCACGGTTGAACTTTCTTCATTTTTCTTAAATAGAATGTCCTTCAAATTTTGCTTACCAAAAAGATCATTGTATAGTTTCAAAGCACCACAGTCTTTTTCGACAAAGTTTTGTGTATGACTGGTCAAGAAAGTATTGAAGTCAGCCATACTAAAACAAGGAAGCGACTCGCCATGTGTCTTTTCACAAATCTTGAAACATTTGCTCCAAAGTATTGAGTCGAATCCTTCGCTTTCTCCGCCTTCTTTTATTGTATCCAGATCTGCGGTTTTGTTTAAAGCCCCAGGTTTTTTGTGCTTCTTGGTGAGCTCATGCCAATGAGTTGCAAATAATCCAAAAATGTGATGGTCACAATGCATCTTGGTTAGAATTCTCTTTCCAGAGGCTAATTTTGTGATAAAATGCGTTTCCTAAAGAAATAGTCCATATATATCATTCTGAGTTTGTACCACCAAAATATTGCAGGAGAACAACGGAATACGCATATAATCGAGTTTAAAGCGACCACTTGAAGTACGCGTTGGGCAAAGTTCACTTTCAAACACAAAAGCTATGATGACCAAAGTCTGAGTAGTAATTTTTGTGCAGCTTAATTCACGAAATAAGCTGAGTTATTCAGCATAATTATGAAATTCGGGCTTCCAAGTCGGAATCTAATGAAGTTTCGGGACGAATTTCGCAGCCGACTTCAGTCGCATTTTACTATCGTACAAATTTCGGATTCAAAATCATGACACTACATACTTTACTTTCAAATCACTTCTGATAAGTCTTTGAAGTACAGTGCTTGATTCTGGCTCTCTCCGATTTTTCTTGGAGTCTATCAATTATTTTTCATTTGGATCATCTTGAAAATTCCCCAGAACATAAGAACATTCCACGACGAATGGAAAAAAAAGTTCCTGTCAATACCATACCTTTATTCTACATTTGTCTTTTTATGTTTTTGTACTGAAAGCTTTTAGAGTTCAAGAGGCGTGTCATCAAAGACTTTCCCAAGGATAACAGGAAGCAGATTAAAGCTTGTCCTTCAAAAGATATAAGATGAAAGAAGAATAGCGAGTCTGTAGCTTAATTCTCAACTAGCTCAAGCGAATTGATATCCCATTACAATGCAAAAGCGCGCTTGTCTGTTATTCTACTAGATTTGTGGTCCACTTTTCATAAATGAGACTTGACGCGTTCGTGGTGCACGGGTGTTTGTTGTTTGAAAAGACATGCTCTCGATCATCGCGATGAGGTGACTTCCGAGGATACCGAATACAGTAAGACACCAAGTGGAGGAACAGACATGCCCAAAGCACCCAAAAAGAAATTTTCCACCACAGCAAGCCCAGCCGGAGCCACTGTCTCTGCAGAAAAGCACATGAACTCTGTGTTCAAGTTCAACACCAATCTCGGCCAGCATATTCTCAAGAACCCCTTGGTAGCCCAGGGTATTGTGGACAAAGCGCAAATAAAGCCAAGTGATGTAGTCTTGGAAGTGGGTCCAGGTACTGGTAATCTTACTGTGAGAATCTTGGAGCAAGCGAAGAAAGTCATTGCTGTTGAAATGGACCCTAGAATGGCAGCTGAATTGACCAAAAGAGTCCACGGAACTCCTCAGCAAAAAAAGCTCGACATCTTGCTTGGAGATTTTATGAAAACAGAGCTTCCGTATTTCGATGTCTGCATATCCAATACCCCCTACCAGATCTCTTCTCCGTTGGTGTTCAAATTGCTTAACCAGCCGAAACCTCCCCGTGTGTCTATTCTTATGTTCCAGAGAGAATTTGCGTTGCGTCTCTTAGCTCGTCCCGGCGACTCCTTGTATTGTAGGTTATCTGCAAATGTGCAAATGTGGGCCAATGTCACACATATCATGAAAGTGGGAAAGAATAATTTCCGCCCTCCTCCGCAGGTCGAATCCTCTGTGGTTAGGATTGAGATCAAACAACCGCGCCCGCTGGTAGATTTTGAGGAGTGGGACGGTCTTCTTCGGATTGTTTTCGTGAGAAAAAACAAGACCATAGCCGCTGGGTTCAAGTCGAACAACGTTATCGAGATTCTCACGAAAAACTACACAACATATTTGGCCCAACAAGATGCCGACTCCATGCAAGTGGACAGCAAAGGCGACTTGACTGCTGTAGTCAAACAGAAGATAGAATCGGTGCTCACTGAAACCGGATACTCTGATCAAAGAGCTGCTAAGATGGACCAAACGGATTTCTTAAAACTTTTGTATGCCTTCCACCAGGTGGGCATCCATTTTGCATAAACTTTTCTTCTCTCACTATATATATTACTAGAACCGAGGCCGATTCTCATGTTTGAGAATTGTTTTCAAATAAATGGATTGTATCTTCGTCTGTGAAAAGAATCATCTTCTTTTCGTTGTATTTGAAGCATCCTTCTCAATAACTTCACCAACGCCTCCCAATTCCTCCAATTGGTCCTCAGCAATTCTGACTTGCTCTCTCCTCTCCCAGAATCTATCTTCACAGAGATCAAAGGCGGCTTTTTTCAAGTACTTTCCTCTTGCATCCCTGTTACTGGAGATCGACCACTCCAAGAATTGTGGGCCTGTACGTATATAGAATGCCCTCAAAGTCTCGAATGGTTTGGGATGTGGAAGCCATGGTCTAGGATCAGGAATAGCATCTTCATCCTCTTCCTCTTCCACCTCCTCCACCTCCTCCTCGGGTTCGCCATCCTCGTCCTCGCCTTCTCTATTTTCGTCATCTTCATCTTCATCATCCTCCTCATCGTCATCGTCATCATCATCATCATCATCCTCATCTGAATTGACGTGCTCCTTTTCCAAATCTGACAAGTCTTCCCAAATGACCTTAACGCCGTCTACCTTGTTCAAATCGATCGCGTACATCGAGTCTAGAGTAAACTCTTGGTCTTCTCTTTCAAAAACGCCACCAAAAATGTACAATGTGTCCTCAACCACGCAAGTTGTCGCATTGAACCTGGGATGAGGCAACTGGTTCATAACGGGGAACTCGATTTTCTCGTTCTCTATCTCTTCTCTCTCCTCCTGTTGTCTAAGTTTCTCAAGCTGGGAGATTTCTTGTATGTCTGCATCATCCTCGTCATTTAACTTGGCCTTTGCCAAGATGGAATTAAGAATTTCTTCCAAATCCTCATCACGACTTTTTTCCTTCACTTGCTCTTGCTTCTTCTTCTTTCTTGGCTTGAGGGTTAGGTTGTACCATCTGTTAGTTTCTGTTTGGTAAGACAACAAAGAATTGTAGAATTGAGACTCAAGGTTGTCCTCACTTTCATCAAAATCATAAACTCCGCCAAATAGGATACCTCTATTCTTGTGATGTACCATGGAGCATCCCACCCGCGGAGACGGCGTGAAACCTTGCTTCCTTCTTCTTTCCAAGCGAATGGCCTTTGGATCAGACTTCATTTTAACGAGCCACGAATCTGTGAGTACTTTTCCCTTTTGAAGGCCTTTCTTCGCTTTCACTTTACAGTATCCGCCATAGATCACCGCTCCTTCAGCGTGAGGAATCAAAGAATGCCCAGATCTAGCATCAGGGAGAGTATGTGTCAGCGGAAACTCAACTTGTGTCCATTTATAAGTAGTGATGTCGAAAAGCCACATATCCAGCAAATATGTGGTCAGCGCCCCCAAGTCTCGAAACCCCCCATGCATAATAATAAAGTTTTTCCATGCACACATTCTGTGACCAGATCTGGGCAGCGGTCCTCTCTTCTGGTCAATTTTGTCCCATTCTTTGGTGTCAGCATCAAGAACCCATGTGTCTCCATAGTGGTAAAAAGTAGATTGTTTTGGAGAAGAAAACTCACCCCCAAACATCAATATAATACCTGATGGATGAGCACACATTGCATGTGACGAGCGAGGAAGAGGCGAATTTTTCGATGAAATCTGTCTCCACGTGTTGTTCTCGATCGAGTACGTATAAAGCTCATTGTAAAATTTGGACTGTCCACCTGCGGTGAACTCTCCACCAAAAAGAATCAATTCTCTTTTTCCCTGGAGGGGCGACGCAACCAAACTTGGGTTGAGACGCCTAGACGGTTTGTTAGAAATAGCGACATTGATCGCAGTGAACTCAGCCTGTTCCTTGGCATACTGTTCCAAGATAGCATCGATGTCCTGATCATCTTCTTCTTCGCCCAACTTCTTAGCCAATTTCTTCAGCTTTGAGTCAGATTTAGCGGTATTTTTCTTCTGCTTTTCTGCCGCACGAGCCTTCTTGGCCTCTTTGGTCTTCTTGTCTTTCTTGGCCATTTTTTTTTTCCAGTGAGGCTCTGACAACAGATGACTATCTTCCTGTTTTTCAAAGGCCTTTATGGACTGTTCGCGTGCGCGATGGACTGGCGGAGTCTGGAGTAGATACTGGGGTATTCTTCGAGATGTCAAAATCATACGTTCGTCTACGTGAATATTTACGCGTTTGGTTATTCTGTTTTTGCAGAAGTCAGAATTTCACCTTAAAGCCAATATGTTGAAGATTTTCTCGGTGCAGCCATATGTGACCCACCATCCAAATAAAACAGTCAGTGTTTCACTTTCTTGAACATGCGCGTATCGCATGTTCTTATCTAGTACAATTTTCAAAATTCTATTGAGGTACAAATATGCTTCCCGTGCCACCAGGCCGAACAGCTGAACTGTATTATGCAAGTGCAAGCACGTCTTTATTTAAACGGAGATCGTCTTCCAAATGTTCAATCCATCTCCACCTGTAGACACCAAACACCCAGGAATTTGCTTGTGCCACCTGACGTCCTTGACGTCTCTTTGCCAATGCACAAACAATAATTGTGGTGGGATGTCGCTCAACTCTTGTGCTTCTTTGCGCTGTTGAGCGATCTCTTCATCGTCAGCCTCGACAGCCAAATCCCACAATGTGACAGTGTTGTCTTCCGAGGAAACCGCAATGATAGATTCGTCCAATGGGTTGAACGAGATGGACGTAATGGCCGACTTGTGGAAATCGTAGTGGGCCACTGGCGCTGGTGTCTCCTTCCCGCCAAAGTTACGCAAGTCCCAAACGCCCCAGGAACCATCATCATGACCCGATGCCAACAAATGGTTGATTTTATCACTCCAGGAAATGACGTTCACGTCTGTGGTGGATGCAGCGACCGAAATCACAGGCTTGTGCTTCTTCGATCTCGTGTCCCAGATGCGAACATACCCGTCACACCCTGCAGACGCAAAGACTGTGTTTTCTCCTGTGGACCACTGAATATCTTCAATGGAGTGGTCGGAAGCAGTGAAAGGTGTTTTGTCAGTGACCCAACTGGACGTGGTACGGGATGTGAGATGAATTCTTCCCAGACAGTCACCTGTCAACAAGGACCCGGTGTTGATCAATGGAGACCAGTCCAAACCATATCCTTCAACATTGCCATGGACACGCACTGTGTGAAGTGGTCTTTTGGCGGTCTTGGGAATCATGTAACCAGGCGAGTCAAAGGCCTTGAATTGGGATCCCAAGTCGAAGATTTGCACCTCTCCGTTTTCTTGCAGGAGAGCCGTGAGATATTCGCCTGTTTCTCTTGCATGGGGAGAAACTCTCACTCTGTTAGTGGTGCTTTTGAGAGGCACAGTCTCGGACATCATGACAGGATCCACATGGAGCTCGTCATCCAGATCTTCGTCCTCTTCGTCCTCTTCGTCCTCTTTCACCAAAGTTTTGGACAATGAGGACAACTTCATAGCAATCAACTCGTTGTCTTTGGCTTTGGACGCTTGAGTGGCCGTGGCGACGTATACTGAGGCAGGGTAGCTTCTTCTCTCTGAGCCCAAGTTGTCGGGCATGATGTCAAGCGTTAAGCACGGCCATGGCATGTTGACGTTATGAAGCATTTCGTATACCGTAGGGTCCGCCTCCAAGACTTCATCTGGGCCCAAAGGCTTAGATCTGTGGGGCAAGTATAAAGTCGACTCCGGGGCAGACTCTTGCTGCGAGAACTTTTCGATATCAACCTCCTCTATTTTCCCCAGCGCAGCATCCTCTTCCATACCCTGGTCTTCCTCTTCCTCCCCAGCAGAATCCAACTCGATGATCTCTTCATCTGACTCGAAGTCATCTCCATATGGGTCCTCGAACTCACCCATCTCCACATCCTGCTCGTTATCAACGTGGTCTTTCAGAAGAGGCGCAGAGCCCTCGTCTCTCTTGACAGCTGTTCTTGATGCCGTCGTCTCTTCTTCGGCACTTCTTTTTCCCATTGTTTTGTCCGTTCCTTACAAGCAGCTGGCTCCAATATTCGGGTCAGGTGCACTACTGATGAGATGAGACGCGATGAACGACGGAAATTTTCAGGTCACGTGACCCAGCACCTACCCTGTGCAATGGAAAGGACCGGAGTACACGTGGTAGCAGCGGCCGAAGCCTTGCTCATGTCTGTTCATTTTTGTTTTCGATCATTTCCCGCCTTGCCTAGGTCCGAACATTTCAGCCCAGCATCTCGTTGACTAGCGCTACAATAGTGCACGTGACCAGGGCACCAATGCATGGCTCATCTGATACCCTTACAGCAGAACCAAAATCTGCTACCTTCAAGAGCTGTTTGAATTCATAAACAAGCTTACTCTGCTGGTTTTCGGTCTCCTTCTAGGCATCTCTGGCCTTGTAGCAAGATAGTTTTGCAATCCATGGGCCTTTGTCTTGGTGCACGGGTCTGACCTGATATCCAGAAATAGGCTTTCCCATCTGGTATTCTTCCCCACAGTTCATGGAAAGAAAAGCGTTTCTTGATCAACAGGCCCCACCTGGTTATGTGGCAGGTGTAGGTAGAGGTGCCACCGGATTCCAAACAAGTGCAGATTCCGGACCAGTCCGGTTCGAGTCACAATTTGGCAGGGAGGCCGATGGGAATGACGATCTGGAAGCGGGTATTTTGGCGCAAACGGCTAGCAGATCAAAAGAAGACGATGAGGCAGACCTGATTTACGAAGAGATAGATCGCCGGATGCAAAGCCGAAGAAAAAACGCCGCCGGTGATAAGCGACAGGCCGAGACATCTCAAAGCGTGGAAATTCCAACTGGGAATGGAACCATTAGACAAGAATTTAGCCTGCTCAAGAGCGAATTGGCACAAGTGAGCATGGAAGAGTGGGCCAACTTGCCGGAAGTCGGTGACTTGACGCGCAGAAACAAAAGACAGCGCTTGCTTGATCAGCAGCAGCAGCGGATGTATGCTGCCCCAGACATACTTATTTCCAGCACTGGTTCGACTTTTAGATACAATTCGGACAGCAAGGATCTATCTTCTGTCCAAGGCGCTGACGAAAGTGCGGCAAAGTTGGCCGAAATAGAGGAGTGGGAGCAAAATAGCGCAATGGTCGGTGATTTGGAGAAGAGCAGATTGATATTGACCTCTTTGCGTAGAGCAGAGCCGTACAAGGCAGATCTGTGGATCTCCTCAGCTCGTCTAGAAGAGCAAGCAAGACAGATGCCGCGGGCCAAATCTCTCATCACTAAGGGGTGTGACCTCATTCCGCACAATGACCAAATTTGGTTGGAACGCATTCGCCTCCATCGCAGCGAGGGCACTAAGACGTGCAAAGCAATTATGAACGAAGCATTGCGGTACAATTCTCAGTCTGAAAAATTGTGGTTTGCGGCACTCGATCTAGAAAACGCAGGAGACGTGTTGTCCAGGAAGAAAATCATCATGAAGGCTCTTGAATTTCTTCCGTCTAATGTCAATTTATGGAAGGCTCTCATTGACATGGATTCGACCGAAGATGATAAGATAAGGCTTCTCAATCGTGCAACCGAACTTTGCCCAGATGAGTGGGATCTCTGGCTCACTCTCGTCAATATGTCGAACTATAGCGACGCAAAGTCTGTGCTCAACAAAGCCAGAAAACAATTGCCTAAAGAGGCGAATGTGTGGATCACAGCATTGAAACTCGAAGAAAGAGAAAACGCTAGCGCTCCTGTTGATAAGCTAGTCGGCATGATTTCGAAGGGAAAAAAAGATTTAGCGAAAACCCTGGTATTTAAGACCGCATCCGAGTGGTTGGATGAAGCTAAAAGAGCTCAAGACGAAGGTTTCTGCAAAACCTCACAGGCAATTATAATAAGTGCGTTGACTGATCTTGAAGTTGGGAGTGATTCAGAACAATTACAAGATTTGGCCGAAAGTCACTTAGCAAGTGGTCCAGATGTGGCGAGCCATATATATCAGTTTATTGCTGAGCGTCACCCTAAAACCATTAGCAATTGGACAAGGCTCTTTGGCTTGCTCCGCAAAGATCTTCCAAGACTATACAAGATGTATGAGCTTGCAATTGAAAACAATCCTGAGAACGAAATTTTGCCTCTAATGTATGCGAAAGACAAATGGTTATTAGGGCTGGATGTTCCAGCTGCCAGAAAAATTCTTGATGAAGCTGTGAAGTCAATGCCAAAAAGTGAAATGGTATGGTATGCACGTCTCAAGCTCGAGGTGAAGAACGGACAGTTCATACGCGCCAAGGAAATCTCTGAAGAAGCAGTACAACTCTTGCTGGGATCTTCTGCTCGTGTCTGGTACAAACACATACACATTCTTAGATATTGTCATCTAAATCAAGTGGGTCTGGTATCCATGGAACACTTATTGACAATTTCAAAGAATGCACTTGATCTTTATCCTGAAAATCCCAAATTGTACCTCCAGCGATCGCAGATCTTGATTGATATGGGTGACAAGTCTGCTGCCAGAGAGTGCCTTTCGGTCGGTACAAAGTTTTGTCCTCAGTCTGTGATCATTTGGCTGTCCCTTGCTACTTTGGATCTAGACATTTCCGCTGAAGCAAGAGCCCGTTCAGTGCTCGATACAGCTGTATCGCGACTTCCTAGTGAGCCTGATTTATGGGAAGCAAAAATAAAACTAGAGTTCAAATTGAAAGATTTTGTCACCGCTCGCCAGCTAATTAACAAAGCTCTAAAGAGTTTTCCGGCTTGTGGTCGTATCTGGATTCTTCACTTGAAGAATATACCTAAGATGTCGCATAGGAAGAATGCATTTCTTGATGCCCTCAAACAGACAAATAATTCCACCGATATCCTTCTTGCAATTGGCGTGTTCTTCTGGCTTGATGGCAAGTTTTCAAAGGCCAAAGCTTGGTTCGAAAGGGCTCTCATCTCTGACAAAGCGAATGGAGATGCCTGGGGATGGATGCACTGTTTTGAAACAAGGTATGGTAAAGAAGAAGATTTGAAAAAGTTCAACAATGATTTCTTGAAGACATTTGATGAAATCAGATTGGGTAATGTATGGAATCGTGTTGTCAAAGTCCCACAAAACTTTGACAGATCTCCGCTCGAATTGCTTAAATTGGTAGGCGAGGAGATTACGCGACACGAAGCTTAGAATCTTTTTATCTTTAAACAATATTTATAGACTTATTTCAATCTGTTCGAGTCTTCGTAGATTCTAAGGTTCAATGCACTCAAAAAACACGGAATCAGATGTTTTTCACTGACCCATTGGTCCACTAATTCTTCGCATATGTTCTTGAACTCGAAGTTACCGTTTGCCTTAAGCGTTTTTGTGTGCACATCAATAATAAGGTAAGGTGCGCTTGAATCAGAATGCTCACTCGAAACATACTTGGAGACCAACTTTATTTTTGAACATAGATCATTTGGGTTGACTGGACTGGGAATGAATTCAATTTTGTACCCAAAGAAGCGTGATAGTATGGCCACGATATCGCGACTCTTTTCGGCATATACTGACTTAAGACGACTTATTTGCTTCAAAAGATTGTTTATCTTGCTTTGCAAGATCTCTTTGTCATTTTCTTGTCGAACAAAGAGCGACTTGGGGATAGAATCAATATTTTCCGACTTCAAATACTTTCCAATCAAATCCAGATTCTCTTTTCGAAGCAAATCAAGAGTCTCTTGTTTGATCAGCTGATCTGCAGAAAATGGATTTGACCGAAGTTCTAAAATCTGTTGCGACGATCGGCTGGCATCCTCACTGAACAATCTAAGTTTCTTTCTCAATTGATCACATTCATCTTTGAGAATCTTTATCTGCGCCAAGAGCTCCAAATTTTCAGTTAAAGAATGTGTTGATTTAGTCTTTACGTCATCTTCTTCGATTAGACGGGGCCTTTTTGTTGGCAAATTATGTTTGACGTGTTCTTTATTGCTTTCTTTGCGCAACTGCTCGATTTCTTGTTTGTATTCGTCCACTAATTTTTCCAAATTAGTCAAGTATTGATTCATGGCGACTTTTTCTGTGTTATCAGGGGTCAGGGATGAAGGCATGAGCTTTCGTTTTGAGGTGAGGTCATCCATGTCTTTTAAAGACTTTCGCAAAAACTCTATTTCCTTTCCATTTAGAATCTTCACTTTTTCTAATTCTCTAGCAATATTTTTCTGCGTTGAAAGCTGAGTCCTTAATGAATTTATTTGAGGAATATGTTCCGAATCAATTTCATCACGCAAGTTTTGGTGACTTTGTTGTAGCTCGCTGATTTCTGCCTGAAATTGATTGAGTTTATCCATAAGAACGAGATTCTTGTTTTGGAGCATCTTGAAAGCTTGCACAAAATTCGTGACAACCTCCTCCCTAGATGAGCTGTTGTGACACTCGACTGTTGCACTGATCACACCAAAATATTCGTCAAACTTCGCTTGTAGTGCGGCATTCTCCAGCTCCAATTGGGAAGCATGGCTTTTAGTGGCTTCAAGGGATTTCAATTTTTGTGAAAGGGAGGCGTTTTTCAGCTTTAATAGCTCAATACTCGTCTTCAGCTGAAGGATCAGATCAAACTTGAACTGAAGCTCGTTGTTCGTTTTCTGAAGCGAAAGAACGCGGAGATTTAAGTCTTCGTTTTTCCTCGCATATTCGCTTTCTAACAGTGCAGATAACATAGACGATCTTTCCAGTAGAGTCGTATTTTGTTCCACTAGCTTCTTATTCTCGGCCTCGAGCACGGAGATTCTCTCCCTATATTGATCATTAGCAGCAAGTTCCCTATTGAGATCTGAGCACAAGTGCTCACGTTGACCGGTTTCTTTCTGAAGCGCCCGCTCAAATTTGTCGATCTTAGCTGTGAGCTTTTTATTTTCTGATGCAAGGCTTCTCACCTGCTGCTCGCTATCACTGGAAGACTTTCCCAGGACTTCTGCCTGGTTCTTCACCTTCAGCTGAAGTTCCTTCCTCTGATTATAGACAAAGTCAAAGTTACTCTGCAAGTGAGAAAACTCCTCGTTCTTCCGCGAGAGAAGCAGCTCATACCTGGCCACACAAGACTCCTTGCTTTGTTCGAGAAGCCGTTTCTCGGTTTTCATTGATGCAAGCTCATACTCCAAGCGAGCAAGCTTTTCTTTGTCAGTTGAGTGTGAGCCATCTACATGCAGTGGCCGTTCCAAAAACGGCGACAGGCTTCCCTCGGTCATATGCTTCAGCTATATTTTTGTTGTGTCTTTCTGGGATATTCGTGTCTCGAGGTGTGTTTCTGCAGTATGATGCTTGTTGCGCGCTCCACCTAGTATTTCCCAGGCCACTGAGTGTAGAGCTTCAAAATACAAGTTTGAATATTTTAATCAAGAATTCGAATATGGGCTGTTATGGTAGCACATTTAGGTCTACCTTGCTGTCACACTATCTTCGATTGCTTTTCTCGTGGTCCCCCAGACAGCCCTTATTCTCTTTTGGATATTGCCCCAAAGTTTTGGACCGGCGGAGTGGTCGCGTGAAGATAGGCTTCAAGATCTGGTCCAGCACCCGTGCACCACGGGCAATCCTCTCTAAGAAAGGCCGAACGCCGCCCCACGATCCAATCCCCAAACCTGAAAGATGTCCAAAATGTATGTGTCCCCTAGATATAAATCTGGTTGTCGGAAGCTTAATTACTAACAGGTTAGTCCTAGAAATTTCAAGCTTCTTGAAGAGTTGGAGAAAGGGGAGAAGGGCCTTGGAGCCCAATCTATATCGTATGGGTTGACCAGCCAGGACGATATCACCATGACAAACTGGAACGGCACCATTCTCGGCCCACCCCACTCGACTCATGAGAATAGAATATACTCCTTGAGTATTGTTTGTGGTAAAGACTACCCCGAAAAGCCGCCCACCGTGACTTTTGTGTCCAAAATAAACCTTCAATGCGTGGACTCAAAGGGAAACGTTGTGGTGAGTGAGTTTGACACATTGAAAAACTGGAAGAGATCCAATACCATGGAGATAATTCTTTTGGAGTTGAGGAAAACCATGGCATCTGCATCCAACAAGAAGTTGTCACAACCACCTGAGGGTTCTTGTTACTAAATACCTAATCTTCTTCTTATATACCTCCAATGATCTGATAGTCATGTACTCTGATAGCTTGATAGACACCAGCTTCATTTGTTTATGTCCCTCGATGGGTCATGTTGTCAGTTTCTTTTATAATCAATTTCATCAATATACTGGTACATCTCTTCATTTTTCGTACTGGGATAGCCCCCTGATGTGTCAAGCTACCACAGTCGGACACGTCAGAAAATATAACATCAAGCTAGCTTTCTTCCTCCATCTGTGACTCGAGCCATTTCGCTAGGTCTACTTCTGCTTTTAAAAATCTCTGTATCTCATCGGTGTGTTTTGACCTTATGCCATCGTTTGTCTCCAGGTCAGTGACTTCTATGTTAATCCACCGTTCGCCTCTTTGCTTCTTTCCATCAACAACCCGCGTATATGGCTGTAGACACCTCTGGAATACACGCTTAAATGGGATGCAAATGGTCTCCAGTACGGAATTAGTGGGTGAGATCTTGAAAGTGCACTCCAGTTGTGAGAGCGACTTCAACGTGCACTGATATTTTCCAGGGTTGGTAAGCTGCTCTTTATAAATACTGTGCATTTCTGCCCTTGTTCGTACAGGGGTTGGAGGTGACATCTGATTTATCTTGTCAGGAAAGGTGGCCTTGTTTTTGTATTTCTAATTGAATCTGCCTACTTGGTCCTGTTCTCGGTACACTGCGCAAACCTCCCGCGACTAGTGCTGCCTAAAAGGTTCCGCAGGTGACATGTCCTTTCGGAGAATTATAACATGAAGCATATCTGAGACTTAATTTGTTATTTTGCTTATTTTTTTCCCGATCTTTCTGGTGAGTAAAAAAGTATGAAAGTTGGAAACAAGTTTAATCGGTTGGGGCTACCTCACATCCAGTATTGATAACCTTCTTAATTAAGCAATTGACGAATTCACGATTTTGCTACAACTGCAACCCCTGGCTACCTCAAGTATTTTACCGTGCTTCTTTCGTCTACTTACTAGAGTCTAACATTTGACATCCACTCCCCTGCGTTTTTCGGCTTCTCTTATTTCAAACATTACTTGGGCGCCAACAAAAAGCGCCCCGGAAGACAAGACCAAGTAAATCAAACCATTTGAAGTACCAAAAAAGGCACGTAGAAGAGCAATTGTTCCATCATGACCCAAGCAGAATCCGTACAAATTTGCAATCATCATCATCCAAATGTTCACAACAGCACCAATTGCACACAAATGCCTATACCATGAGTTATTGCTGTACCTCTTGAAATAAGAAGTGGCAAAGATTTCCGGGAGCAAGAAGAGAACAACCAACCATCCCCACATCAAGAGCTTTAGTTCAATGTCATGCCAAATTGCAACAAAACTGAACACCACTAATGAATTGACAACCCTAGATGTATATCCGCCAGTGCCTGCACCAGCGCCACCCATTGGTATGTAAATGTATCGAAGGACCCACTTGTTGAAGGAGCGGTGCCATGATCTCCAGAAAGACACAGCAGAGTAGTTGTTATCCATGCAACGAATCATGTTCTCGGGGGGGTCAATACCATCAAGTAAACTCCAAAAGCGAAACAAGCGCCATGGTATAAGAAGTTTAAGCCAGATTATATTGAGGTTAAACATTCCCAACATCGAAAGTTGAAATGGAGTATCGCCCTCCCATGCTTTTGTTTTTGATACGGCTACCACGTACATGAAGTGCAAGAGAAACTCCATAACCAAAACGCAAAACATGAGACGAGCCCCGTACACCAAGATTCGTTTCAAGTCCTTTGTAGACAGAGCCGGATGATAATTTGACTGATACATGTAGTCGTTAAAAGTTATGATTGGACCTCCGATAAATAATGGAGCATAACACAAGTAGGAAATGTAGTTTGTGAAAGAGTAGTCTTCCATTGGAAGTGCTGCCTCAAGTCTGCCCCGATCGTCTAGTTCTGGATAACATGTTGCAATCTCATTTCTCGAAGTAGGTTTCTTGCCCCAGTTTATTTCCTGCTCAGGAGCAGCCAGCTTTTTATCATTTTTTCTGTCCAAGAAGTCCATGGCGAATGATATTATGCGAAGAAGGCTGAAATTATAAAAAACATCCCAGCGAGCAACAATCCCTTGATATCCGTTATCAATGACTTCAATTGTTGTTGGTGTGGACATAAGCATGTGATTGATAAAAAGGGATGCAACTCCATATGTCCAAAGACAAATTTTGGCCCTCTTTGGCCTTTGGATGAATTTTGCCATCACATACATGACCACGATATGAATAGCTAAGCGAAAACAATTCGTTCCATGTAAGAACCACAAATACAAACAGCCGAAACACAAATCAAAGTGAGTTCTTTTATGCTCGCAGAAATATGAAACAGCCCTTCGAAGTGCCGTGTGGCCAAGCATCATCCCACAGATCAACCAAAAATTGTCTCTGAGAAAGCGATACTGCTGGTCCGAGTTGTCCACTTTTCGTCCGAACATCCAGCCATCACTCAAAAGATGCTCAAAAAGAGGGTAGTTTGGGTTTGTTTCATTAGAGGCATCCATAGCCGTTTTGTACATTAAGGGCACAACAACGGCAAACACTAGGAGATAGAATTTGAACTCCAAGGTGTGCCAGCGAGAATCTGGGCTTGCCTTGGCTATGATCAATTTCTTCTTTTCTACATCTTTCGGGGCGTGTAGACGAATATCAAGCGTTTCCAATGAAAAGAACTGGAGAAAACCGTCAAGATAACGCATTTTGATTATCCACTTTGATCTGAGCAACTCGGAACGAGCTACTTGAAGAGTTGCAGCCTTCAGGCGGTCAGGACACGACTATTTGCGTCGAGGTGCTTGCCAGCGACAGTAAGCCCACTACTATTTTTCACCAATTTTATTCTGCAAAATTATTACATGCGAAGCGCTTTCAGCGCTATTTCGTGAAATCAAATCAGGAATAAAGTCAGTAATTATAAAACTCTAAGGAAAACGTTAAAACGTTGTACAGGAAGTGTCTGCGAATCTCCGAAACGACTGGAGCACATGTAGTAGTATTGGACCATGTTCGAGTTGCGGACCCACACACTTATGAAAAATGTCTATCTGTGTGATTGGAATATGGAATCATGGTTTTCAAAACCATCTCCACTGAAAATTGAATAAATTTCTCCCATTCCAAATTTTACCATTATGCTTTGAATGTTATATTTTCCCTAAATGACTCAAGATATCAAAATTAGATAATTTTTTCTCAGCTTCGTGTGATTCAGCAGCACCCTGGAAAACAAATTCACTTGGGCATAGTTGCCAAAATCAGCAATACATGATAAATGACCGACCATTACATATAAGAACATGATATACTACGTGTAATAACTTCATTAATGTCAGCTCTCTGGTCGCTCATGCGCGCGAGAGCTCCATTGATGCACACAGATCGCCAAGTCATCTGCATGAAGACTAGGTTGAGACACCAACCCTCGCCGAAAAGCCTTCCAAAAAATGTCGGACGATTTTGAAAGAAGACCAAATCCTAAAGGCTGGGTGCCCCCAAAGGCCCCATACAATCCTTATGATTCAACGGACATTCGGCCCGCAGAAGGTTATCCATCGGAATTCAAGGTACCCAGCGAAGCACCACTGGGGTTTTCTTCATTACCCAAAAATCCCACACAATATAAGAAAATAAACGAGACTATGAAAAGGCTCAACTACACGCCGAGACCTATGTCGACTCTATACCCGGGTCAGTACATGGTGTTGCGTAAAGTCGATACTAATCAGAGGCTCAACACTGGAACGAGATGGTTTGGAACTTTCCTCACAGGGTCTATTCTCTTCTATTTCTCTTTCTTTTACAGGTGGAACGATGGGCATGAAAACATAATGTCCGGATTCTACAGAACAAGACTTCAATTGAAGGAGAAATTCTTTGGCCTCAACAATCTTGAATACGAGGATTTGTACCACCCTAGAGACACCATTTCTACGGTCAGAAATGTCCGTGATACCGACTACATTCCTGAGGAGTTGCGTAAAACAAAAGAGGGCGATTTCGCCTTGAACAGACCTTCGGAGAGACATGTATTGGAGGCAAAAAGAATTCAGCAAGAACAAGAAGAGAAACTCTTGCGTGAATTTGACATGCATCAGGAATTTGCCAAACAGTTTATGGAGGACGCACCAGAGCAAAAGAAGAAGAAAAAGTTTTGGTTGTTCTGAGGTGAAGGCTGTCACATAATCGCCGAGGCTTCGCTTAAGAATAATGTTGTACATAGATGCTCTAGTAATTTATTATTTCCATACATTTGAAGAATAAAAAGACTTTAATGAATGTTCCTGAAATAAATGAGTAGAGAAGCTTTTTTGAGAAGTGCTGGTAAATTTTGGTGCCTCAGATTAGGTCCACGACCAGCTTAACATCACTCTTCTTGGTTAGGACATCTGGTTTTCGAATTCTCCGTCCTTAAAACTCGCGAAAAATACTGAATTTGTCCTCTTCAATAGTGTACAATTGGGGGATGAAATCAGGCCTGAAGCTATTTGTATATTGCCCTATTGAAAGGTTTAAAGTATGATGCCCTTGACGCTCAATGAGGAATGCAGACTTCTATCAACTTTTCAATATGTAGTCGAATATAACACAAAGGGGCCAAACATGAAATCAAGCTTAATTGAATCACGATATCGACTCAGGTGACTAGGTTGTGGACCGCATTTTTTAGGGACCCAGCATGTATTTCATGGAAAAATTTACTAAAACTTGTTTCAGATGCTCGAGATCTTTCTATATCTTTTTTCTCTGATATTGATTGTTTGGTTATCTGGGCTCATTTGAAATTAGATACAAAAAAATTAGTATTCGTACAAAAATCTTCAGACGGAGTTGTGGATTTTTAGTGAGTTTTATCTATTCAAAGATATAAAAATATTCTAAGAAAACAGGTTTTGAACACGTGCCCAGTGTCAAACAAATCAGCCTTATTCTTCTTGCAAGTGTCTCTCGACCTGATTTGGGTGGGGTATTTCAAGTCATTTTATGAAATGAACAAAGATTTAAATTGGAAAAACATTTACACATCTTAAAGATACGTACATATTGTCGAAACTCGGCTCGTGCCCTCCCTTTAATCACGCCCTAGACGGTTCTTTTGGCCCGTATATCTTTGCGTAATGGATATTACGTTACCAATTCCTGAATAATTTACCTATAGTTTTTGTTTTGGTAGATTCATCTGATCAAAGGAGCAAGACCATATGAAAATATGTATAAAAACCTTTAAACAGCTCCCAGCTACGTACCAAGTGTCTTAGCTCGGCCCGTAAAAAACCTTTAAACAGCTCCCAGTAGCCTGCCAAAGTAAGCGCGTGATCTAGATGTAAATTGTAGAAAGCCAAATACAAGAACAATAAACAAGTTCAGAAGACTGACGCAGCTCAAGATTCGTTTTAGTGTTTATCTATGATTACGTCTGGTATCTTCCTCACACATCACATGGTTGTATAGTGTAGTGGTTATCACCTTCGGTTTTGATCCGAATAACCCCGGTTCGAATCCGGGTACGACCTTTTTTGCATCTCAAAGTCTTCACAAAAAACATTTTTTGACCGCATTGTCGTTCCTTCTATGGTGTTACCCGCCCCGCACACGCACGCTATATATTCAAGGCTTCTCCCACCCTGCTCTTTCATTTTTCCTTAACGCAAATTCACAGCCACTCACAACGTAACAGCATCCCGTTGAGGTTGAACCCATTGTGGCGTTCTTGACCCATGACCATCGGGGTATTGTTGTAATTTTTTAGCGGTGGACTGGAGACTAATTTGTTGATCTTGGGTGCAGCATTCCATCTGTAAATACTTGTTATTTCTAAGGGATTGCCTTCGTGTGCCCGTATGGGGATTGCTGCAAGGATTAACTTTACATCTTACTTCTCTTCGTAATTTTTTTTTTTCACTAGAAACATGGGCTTGGATATTTTTCTGTAACATCGACGGGCCCTATATGCATACGCCAACGGCCTTTTCTTTAAACGATACATTCGACGGAAGTTTAATCTCGAGTCCAAGAAAATTTATACGTACAGCTCTGCAGAAAGTGGCCGGATTAGAAAATCATGTCGCACATTGTCCGTCGCGGCCAACGACGGTGCAGATCGAAAGCGCTCACCTTGTCATACGAGGTCTGTTCAAGTACGAGCCTGATGATCCAAGCGCCATGAATTTCTCGATCTGGCTTCTCTTTTGCGCCTTAGCGCATATGCAAAAATTGTCACATGCCCTGATGCTCCCGGGTCAAAACGTCACAGACTTGTCTTGCTTTCAAGTCTCAGAGGTCCTGGCACAAGACCAATGTCTGTTCGTACGTGAGAATTGTAACAGTGACAGCTACAGTATCGGCAGGGCAGACTACTTGAAATTTTATTATTGCTCCCCTCTACGTCCCGGGTCGCTTGCGGTGATATCTGGGGTCGTTTTCTTCTGTTTTGTGTCCCTCGCCCTTACAGCTTCTGACTACCTATGCCCGAACTTGTACTCCATATCTAAGTTTCTCCAGTTGTCAGACAACTTGGCGGGGCTCACATTGTTGGCCTTGGGGAACGGTTCACCAGACGTGCTTTCCACATACAAGGCTCTCGAAGTAGAAGCCACGGGGCTTGCAGTGTCCGAGCTCATGGGAGCTGCGCTTTTCATCTTGACCGTAGTGGTGGGCGCCATTTCATGGGTGCACCCGTTCAAAGTGCCTAGGTTTCACTTTATACGGGACGTGTCATTCTATTTGGCCATTTCGTTCATGTGCATCCTTATCTTTATCAGCGGCAGCCTCACATACTGGAGTTCTCTAGTATTGTTTTCCACGTATATAATATACGTTGCCGTAGTGCTTTTTAGTCACTCGGTGCTTTGGGAAAACTTGCTACATACAGCAAACGTCATACGGTTTCGGAGCACATATGAGGAGGAACCAGCTCCCAGCATCGTTGAAAGACGCCTCGATGATTTCAATACCGATTACGTGCCCCACCCCTCAATTGAATTATTATTGGCCCACAGTTACCAAGAGGGGGAAGACGAGGTGGATGCATTCTTGAGCTCACATCCACATAACCATTGCGATAAAAGAACCCTCATTGAAACAGGTGCCTATGGTATCAACTTGCTCTTGAAAAAACTATCAAATCATACGCTGCATCTCCCTGGAGTCTCATCTAGCTTGACATTGACGAACGAGCGACCTCTAACTGCAACTGCTAGCATTGCAATCGAGAATTCCACTGCAGATCATGAAAACACAGTATCTGACCCTAAACTCCAGGTTAAACCACATCACATCTCAGTTTGGAACCTGATATTGCCCTCATTAGATCCAGAAGCATCACTTTTGACAAAGGCTCATTACTTCATTACTTTCCCCACGAACAGCCTCTTGCGGCTCACTACTCCGAACAGAGAACAAGCAATCGAGTATGGTCAATCCCTCTCATGCAACGCGTTCAACTTCAGCACTTCTGCTCTCGACAGTGTGATTAGCAACACATCTTGGGATTATGATTATAGCTTGGATATGAGGATTTTCAAATTACAGCTTGTGGCTGCTCCAGTTTTTGTCCTCATCACGTGTTTTCCCAACACTGTATTTGCATGGTTCATGACGTTTCTCGTGCTGATCTCAATTTATGGAATCAGCATTATGATTCCAGAGGGAGACTCTACGTTAAAAAGCTTTTCGTTAAGACACAAGTTCTGGAACTATTTTGGGTCATTTGTTGGCTTTATTGCCTCTCTTCTCTGGATTTCGATATTTGCCACCGAAATCGTAGCTATTCTCAAAGCAATGGCTGTTATATTTGCCATTCAGGATGACTTATTGGGTGCTACTGTCTTTGCCTTGGGAAATTCCGTAGGCGACTTGGTATCCAATCTCATCATAGCCAAAATGGGGATGCCAGCCATGGCTTTTGGTGCTTGTTTCGGGGGGCCTCTTCTATCGATCAGCTCTTTGGGATTTAGCGCGGCAATCATTATGTGCAACAAGAATAAGCGAAGTATATCCATAGAGTTTTCCGATACATTGAAATGGAACTGCTTTGCCTTGATTGTGACACTAACATTCCTCGCTGTTTCCATTCCGTTAAACGGTTGGACGTTTGATAGACGAGTAGGAAGTATTCTATTATCCATATGGATAGCCTCCAGTATATTGACTATAATTTCGGGTCTATAGATAATATAATGTCCTATTTTTGTACATATGTGATAAATTGAGAATAAAAACAAATTACATTTGATATAATAGATAGTATTCTTCCTATTTCTTGCCTAGTCAACTTCCTCAACTGTTGGACCTTGGCTAGATGCAGAAGCATCACCTCCAGCACCCGGGAATCCTCCGGAACCAGGGAACCCAGCGCCAGCACCACCAGGTGTAGCGCCAGCCAGATAGGCTTTGGTCATGATTGGATTCACGGTGCCTTCCAATTCAGATTTTCTGTCAGTGAACTCCTCAGTCGTGGCCGTTTGGTTGCTATCCAACCATGAAATGGTCTCATCGGCCGCCTTAACAACGGTTTCGACATCCGAGGCATCCAACTTTGCCTTGAACTGCTCCTCGTTCACACTAGACTTCAATGAATAGGCGTAAGATTCCAATGCATTCTTGGCTTGTATCCTCGAGGCCTCTTTTTCATCTTCCTCTCTATACTTCTCCGCATCGGAAACCATCTTTTCGATTTCCTCCTTGGATAATCTACCCTTGTCGTTGGTGATGGTAATCTTCTGTGTCTTTCCAGTACCTTTCTCCAAAGCAGACACATTCAAAATTCCGTTGGCGTCAATGTCGAATGTGACTTCAACTTGGGGCACGCCTCTAGGAGCAGGTGGAATGCCAGATAATTCGAATTTTCCCAACAAATTGTTGTCCTTGGTCTTGGCCCTCTCGCCTTCATAGACTTGAATCAAGACACCTGGCTGGTTGTCAGCGTACGTTGAGAAGGTCTCGGACTTCTTGGTAGGGATAGTCGAGTTTCTTGGAATCAACTTAGTCATGATTCCTCCGGCAGTTTCAATGCCCAAAGACAATGGAGCCACGTCCAACAACAACAAGTCCTGGGTTTTAGAGGAGGTATCACCGGACAAGATCGCAGCCTGTACAGCAGCGCCGTACGCAACGGCCTCGTCGGGGTTGATGGACTTGCTTGGTTCCTTGCCATTGAAGTAGTCCGAAACCAACTTCTGGATCTTTGGGATTCTGGTTGAGCCACCCACAAGAACAATCTCATCCACCTGGGACTTGTCGATCTTTGCGTCTCTCAAGACCTTTTCCACAGGGTCCATAGTAGATCTGAATAGGTCGTGACACAACTCCTCGAACCTGGCTCTGGTGATAGATGTGTAGAAGTCAACGCCCTCAAACAAGGAGTCGATTTCTATGGATGTCTGGGCAGAGGAGGACAAAGTTCTCTTGGCACGTTCGCAGGCCGTTCTCAATCTCCTCATGGCTCTTTGGTTCGAGGACAAGTCCTTTTTGTTTTTCCTCTTGAACTCGGTGACAAAGTGGTTGACCAATCTGTGGTCGAAGTCCTCACCACCCAAGTGGGTGTCACCGGCAGTGGCCTTGACATCGAAAATCCCGTCCTCGATGCTCAACAAGGAAACGTCGAAAGTGCCCCCGCCCAAGTCGAAGATCAAGACGTTCTTCTCGCTCTTGGTGTCCTTGTCCAAGCCATAGGCAATGGCCGCAGCGGTGGGCTCGTTGATGATCCTTAAGACATTCATGCCTGCGATGAAACCTGCATCCTTGGTGGCTTGTCTCTGGGAATCGTTGAAGTATGCGGGGACCGTGATCACGGCGTCCGTGACCTTGGTGCCCAAGAAGCTCTCTGCGGTTTCCTTCATTTTGGTCAACACCATCGACGAAATCTCCTCCGGGGTGAAGTCCTTGCGTTCGCCCTTGAATTCCACCTGGATGTTGGGCTTGCCGCCTTTGTCGATGATGGTGAAGGGAAAATGCTTCATGTCCTCCACCACCTCCTTATCCGAGATCTTTCTGCCAATGAGTCTTTTGGCATCAAACACCGTGTTGCTGGGGTTCATGGCAGCCTGGTTTTTGGCGGCGTCTCCTATGAGTCTTTCGGTGTCGGTGAAGGCAACATACGAGGGGGTGGTTCTGTTGCCTTGGTCGTTGGCAATAATGTCGACTTTGTTATTGGCGAAATGCGCCACGCACGAGTACGTGGTGCCCAAGTCAATTCCAATTGCGTTTGTCATCTTGTAGTTTGATGTTAGTGATTACTTGTTTTCTGTAGAGAAGACAGGACCAGCCGCCACAAACGGGCCGATGGGCCGCAGATTTATAGTGCACGGGATCCGAGACCAGAACATTCAGGGGTGTGCCAAAGATCACCCCACACAAAGTCTCCCTTTCTAGGCAGTACCCGAACGTTCTGGAACATGGGGTAAGATGTGCGAGCCGGTGCGATGGTCCAATGAACGCGGGAAAAAAAGGCGGCGCGGGCTGCTTCCGCTATTGCCAGAGGAGTTCTCCAGAGTCCCGTGGAATCCCGTGGAATCCCGTGGAATCCCGTGGAATCACGAAGGTTCCGTCGGTTCTGCAATGCCATTAAGGCAGGAGACATCTCCGATGTATGCTCGAATGTTCCAGCAACTGCTGCCTCACATCAGGCTCTGTTTGGTTTCTTCATTCGCAGATGTCTTGGTTGTGCCGCACTAGTACTGTCGCTGATATGCCGCGCCAATTCTGCAGTGGTCAGTTGCGGTGCGCGAACGCCAGACCTGGGGCCTAGCTTTGGGGCCTGGCTTGCTTGGGGTGCGGAGCAAGCATATCGGACCTCCCAAATAAGCTCGCAGACCTCTACCCAGCGCCGGGGATTCGTGCCTAAATGAAGCAAAACAAAAGAGCAAAAAAACAAACAAACACCAAATCAGTTCAAAGGCCGAGGAATTCCCGGAACAGCCGGGGGAGAAGCCTCACGTGATTCGGCTGCGGCCTTTCCTTCCGCTGACTGCTACTTTATCTAACCCACGGCTCTGGTTGGCACGGCTCGTGTCCGAGTCAAACCGGCGGCCGCGCCAGACTCGGACCTACCCAGATCCTGCGCATCAGACGACTAACAAAAAGCGAGACTAGGCAGCTTACCCGTCCCAATTCTTCTCCGGATTCTTTTTTTTTCCTTGCCAAATCTCATATTCACTCGCCAAATGTTCAGGACCATTGCCAGACAAACCGCCCGCACCTCTCCTTGGAGAACCGCCGTCAGATTCAACACCACCAACTTCAGAGTCAACACGGACTCTCACGTGTGCAAGTACTTGAACGAGGGCCCTAAATTTGTCAAGTTCACAAACGAGCACGAGTGGATCGCAGTGCACGAGGACAATACTGTCTTTTTGGGTGTCACTGACTACGCAGCCAATGCTCTCGGTGACACGACCTTCGTTGAGTTGCCCGAAGTGGGCGCCACCTACGAGGAGGGCGAGTCGATCGGCTCTGTGGAATCGGTGAAAAGCGCCAGTGAAATCTACTCGCCTGTCAGCGGCGAGGTCATTGCCGTGAACGACACCTTGGAGAGCAAGCCGCAATTGATCAACGTGGACCCCATGGGCAGCGGCTGGATTGCGCACATCAAGTTGGACAAGTCCATCGAGGCGGTGGAGGGCCAGGAGGGCTTGATGAACGAGGAGGCCTACATGTTGTCTTTGAACGACAGCTAGATGCGTGGACCCGCCATCGTTATTTATGTAGACTAAAGCAATGTACGCCGTTCGATTCACGACGAGCCGGGTATTCGTATTTTAGAAAGGCTTCCACCTGGGTGCGCGGCACGTGGAAACGGCCGCCGCTGCCGTGGTCCCTGGGGCATCTGACCGGCGGCCGATTGGAATTAGAAGAAACAAAAGAAGCAAGTCAGTAAAACTATCGATAGATTCTAAGAAAAGTGCACAGCGATAGGCACGATGATGACAATCAACAAGATGATCACACCCAAAATGAGGCACATTCTCATCTTCATGTCCTTCCACCACATGTCTTTCCTGACGCGGTTGGCGCCGCGGCGAAAGCCTTGGGCGCTGATTGCAAGGTTGTCTGTTTTGTTCTCGATTGAGTCTAACCTCTCGCCTCTTTCGGCGACTTTGTTGATGTTGTCCCTCATGATACCCACGGTGTCATCGATTTGCTACAGGTGTGTTAGTAGGCGCTGGAAGGCGTGAGTAGCAAGGGGGCTCGAGGACTTGTTCTTGGGACATTTGGCCCCTGCCATCTGGCGGGCTGATACTGCAGTGCGGGATCGCGTAAAACATGCCACTGTAATTCCAGGACTGAGGAGTGTGAGCGGGGAAAGCGGCGCCAAAGCACACTTCAAAGAGAAAGCCCCAGGCCAGTCTGCCAGATGTCTGATCCGTCTGGTATCTTTTGTGTCTGGTTTATTTTGTCTTTTGTGGGTGGTATCTTTTGTGTCTGGTATCTTTCGTGTCTTTTCGATATGGGACACGCAGGCCGTTGATGAAGATCTTGCAAATGGAAAAAGTGCTAACATACCGCTTGGATGGCCGCCGTCCGGGAGTTCGACTGGTCACCGGTGGTCTGGCTGGGGATATATGGATCGTAAGGTACGGAGGTCGACATTTGCTTTGTTGTTTTTGTGGGGAATATCCGCTGATACGTTGGGAACTAGCGCGGTCGGGGCCCCTGGCTGTCTTTGTATTTCGCGTGAGTTTTGCGCATTGTCCCCGTGACCTCACCAAGGATGGCGGTGGGAGGCGCTGCAACAGCACGGAACGGCCCTCTGTATACCGGACACCACACTTCCATATCTTCCGGGAACCGACTCGCGGATACACCAAGCCAGGCCTCCAGGATCTTTCAGCCATGTTTCATAGAATCCAAAAGCAGTGAAACGGTTGCAGAGCCATTCTGAATCTGAATTCTTGTTGGTAGGTTGGGCGGTTCGAAGGGTTCAGAGCTGGTCCGTGTGTTCCGTAGGTATTCCGAAGCACGCCGCTCCGGGTCCGTGAATCAAAAAATAAATAAAAAAAATAGAAAAACAAAAGAAAAACAAAAGAAAAACAGTCCCGAATATACGGATCCCGGCCTACTAGCCCACAACATTTTTGGCCAGAGGTGCATCCTGTTTTTATAACCTGTTTCATGTTGCCTAGGGTTATTGCATTCTCGCAGCCCGATTCACGGCGCGCGTTTTAATTTGGGCAAAGCATTCTCGTTGTCTCTCGTGAGACACTTTTTCTGAAGCATATCCTCAATCACGATCATGGAGTTGCCTGTATGCGCGAGCTTGCAAAGTGAACGCCACTGCCCACCAAAAACAAACTGTAGCGCTTTTTGAACAAAACAGTGAACATAAGAATTTTGATGACCGGTTCTTTGATGGGTGGGGCGCAAAGGCCCGGTTCATACCCAGCGTTGTGTTCCAGAATACCGCTTGTTTGCTTCGCAGGCACAGGTATTTAGAAATGCTTATCTCCCGAGTGAGCGTCCATAACTGGCCGCGGGCCGCAGTGGATAGATGGCCAAACTGGGGCCACCAGCCACTCCGCCATATAACAGTGTCCTCGAAATATCGGAAATGAAACACGGCCAGCGCACACCACGACCAGCACGCGCCGGTGCTTCTGTTTGCTGTATCCCATGAGCTCCAGCGCCTACAAAAACAAGCCTTTTCGATTGGAAACCCGGGTATTCCAATAAAAAGATGGAGCCACTTTCCTTCATAATCTCGCCCTATTGAAAGGCGCGAATTTTTGGCTGGCGGTGAAATCGACGCGGGTCGGAACGTGACGTTGGCCATGGAAACTGGGCGTCGCTCAGCCACTAACAAGTGCCTCGCAGCGGGCAAGCAAACACCCGCGTGATAAGACAAAACCCCGACATCCTACATTTGATTTGTTTTGCCTCAGAGCGTGATTTTCGGCGGGAAACAATCAAGAAAGGAAACTTCAAGCAAGTCTTGGACTTTGACTACATACTTGGAATGCCACAGGCAGCATGCATTTTGAGTAGGGAGGCCTCGGGCTGTATGAAGCATACTTTGCCTCACCTTTGACCCTGTGCGCGCCATGTGGCCGCTCTGTATACAGGAACGCTCGCCTTCGTTTACCGTAGGACAAAATGACCACGATTCCTTTTTTCCGCTCCTACCCTCTCTTTTTTCCACACTTCAGTTAATAAATATACATAAAAAATGGACGGTGGTATGTATCGCAACAATCGATTCCCTTTTCTCCCATCGGAACTGCAAGTAGAAGACGGGGGCAACTATGCTTGACTCAATTTTTAGCTGTTTGCTCTGTTTCCCTGTTCACCGGGATCTTTCGTTATCTTCTTGGCGTGACTATTGCTGCTCTTGAACCCGGCGAAATCCAGCATGTACTGGACTTGAACCGATATTCTGGCTCCTCACAGGATGGCGGTTTTTTCTTGATGTTTTCTCAAGGCCAACAGATCAAGTGTGTTCCGGCTATGTCAGTTGCATTGGGTTGCGGCGCCACCGACAGTCACATGATCATCATCCATATAGCTCAAAGAGACCCTAATGAACATGTGAAGTGGCGTGAGTTTTACTCTATTTGGAAACTCAGTTGCTTCGCCCATGTTTACTCTGGGCTTGGGTCGTCGAACTTTGGTGTAAGGATGTACTGGCTTTGCGACAACCCCTTTTGCTCGCTCCAAAGCAATCGAACTCACGTTCCGCGCCTGCGGTTGGGCGACGCGCACTTTGATGCAGTGGGCGGAAATCCCAAAATTATCATGATTCAGCTGCCATTTCTTGCCGCAAACTTTACCTGCTCAATCCCTTGGCTCACTTCCACATGCAACTTGGGTTAAATGGTTGGTTAGCTCTGATGAGAAAAAAAAAGAGCAAACACATAAGCATAGCACCCACTACCCGTCTTCTCTGATTCCACCATGCGAGCACTGGCTTTTTTCTGAGTAATTCAAGACCTGTACTAACCCCTTACAGAAGAAGTTGCTGCTTTGGTTATCGACAACGGTTCCGGTATGTGCAAAGCCGGTTTCGCCGGTGATGACGCACCCCGTGCTGTTTTCCCATCTATCGTTGGTAGACCAAGACATCAAGGTATCATGGTCGGCATGGGCCAAAAAGACTCTTACGTCGGTGATGAGGCACAATCTAAGAGAGGTATCTTGACCTTGAGATACCCTATCGAGCACGGTATTGTCAACAACTGGGACGATATGGAAAAGATCTGGCACCACACCTTTTACAACGAGTTGAGAGTTGCCCCAGAGGAGCACCCAGTCTTGTTGACCGAGGCTCCAATGAACCCCAAGTCTAACAGAGAGAAGATGACCCAAATCATGTTCGAGACTTTCAACGTTCCAGCTTTCTATGTGTCTATCCAAGCTGTGTTGTCTTTGTACTCTTCCGGTAGAACCACTGGTATTGTTTTGGACTCTGGTGATGGTGTTACTCACTTGGTTCCAATCTACGCTGGTTTCTCTATGCCCCACGGTATCTTGAGATTGAACTTGGCTGGTAGAGACTTGACCGACTACTTGATGAAGATCTTGTCTGAGCGTGGCTACACTTTCTCGACTACCGCCGAGAGAGAAATTGTCCGTGACATTAAGGAGAAGTTGTGTTACGTTGCCTTGGACTTCGAGCAAGAGATGCAAACCTCCTCTCAATCCTCTGCTATTGAGAAATCCTACGAATTGCCAGATGGACAAGTCATCACCATTGGTAACGAGAGATTTAGAGCTGCTGAGGCTTTGTTCCGTCCAACAGACTTGGGATTGGAGGCCGTTGGTATTGACCAAACCACTTACAACTCTATCATCAAGTGTGACGTCGATGTCAGAAAGGAGTTGTACGGTAACATTGTCATGTCTGGTGGTACTACTTTGTTCCCAGGTATTGCTGAGCGTATGCAAAAGGAAATCACTGCTTTGGCTCCTTCTTCTATGAAGGTCAAGATCATTGCTCCACCAGAGAGAAAATACTCTGTCTGGATTGGTGGTTCTATTTTGGCCTCTTTGTCCACTTTCCAGCAAATGTGGATCTCGAAGCAGGAGTACGACGAGTCTGGACCAACTATTGTTCACCACAAGTGTTTCTAAGAGCACTTGTGTCTTTAGTTGCACATGCCGTATTCTTGCAAATCTAGTGCTATTCCTTCCACTAAAAGTATATTCTTCTATCTAGTTAGAGTTGTTTTGAAAGCAGTTCATATTTAATGGAAGATATCAATTGAAAAATACGTTTGCATGTAGCTCAGATTGGAGATTCTCAAGTTTGTATAGATTTACTTGATGTTCAAATGCGGAGTCGTGTTTTGCATACGGCCTAAAACACAATGGGGCGCGTAGCGCAGAATCACGTTGTCCTCATGTAGCATCTCAAAACTCTCGGTAGCATCTCTACCAGCAAATTTGAGGATGGAATCCAGACCGCCAGGATGATCCTTCAAAAACAGGGTTAAATCCAACACAACACTCTTCACGACTACCCAGCAATCGTCTTCCTTATTGTGCTTCGCCACTTCTTCCTTCAGAAAGGTCTTCGAAGGAATCTCAAACTGAGTATATATATCGTGTTTCTCTTTGGCGTCAACTCGCGAATTTGGGGGTATTTCCCATTCTGTGGGTGATATTTCGCTAGCTTTTGGAGCCAGCGATCTATCACCAAGATCAATCACCACTTTTTTCGATACAGGATCAATATGGAGACTTATTTGACCCAAGCGCTGTGCTGCCTGTATTGAGTTTGCAGAATTGCAGGTGGTCAATTTCTTTAGCAAAAAGCTGGAAGCCTCATCTGCTGCCAAGCGCCCATACACGACGCAGGCTAAGAGAGAAGAACCACCGAGTCTATTATGTCCGTGAACACCTCCTGCAACTTCTCCAGCCGCATATAAACCCTCGAAAATGGTTTCTTTGCCATCTTTCTGATGAACTACTTGAGACTTGTCATTGATCTTGACTCCCCCCATGGTGAAATGCAAGACGCGTGCAATATATGCTACATGATACGTCTTTTCTTTCTCCATATCGAACGGGGTTGTGGGGAAGTACATTTTGCCAAACTCATCCTTTCGCTCGCCTTTTGCAGAAGAGTTGTAGCTGGACATAGTTTTTTGCAATTTCTCAAAAGGCACCCCAATTTCTTCTGCTAGCTTAGCACCTGGCACAGCTCTTAACAAGCTCCTTTGTGTGTAATGCTTGATGTGAAATTCTAAGCGCTGTTCGCTTTGAGAATTCAAGACAAGTCTCAAGGGTCCAAGACCTTTTTGCAACTGCTTGAGCATTTCCCCACTAACATAGTCCCTAGTCCCGAGCTCATCACAAAAGCGCTCCCCCTTTTTGTTGAGCATAATCCCGCCTTCTCCCCTTAGAGCCTCGGCTCCAAGAAAGAGAAATCGGGGATGATTTTTGCCTTCAATTGTGTCAGTGTCATGGTAGTCAATAAGTCCCGTAGGGTGGACTTGGACTTTCTCCATATCAATTCCCACACCTGAGTTCTTCATGATGATTTTTTGACCATCTCCGGTAGCGTGGCTTCCGTTTGTGGAGGGTAAATCGATGATATCTGGGCGATATTTGCGCAACAATGAATTTTTGGTGAAATCGGCTGCATATCCACCCGTTGCCATAATTACAGGCCCAATCAAGTGTCCCTTTTTTTTTGTTTTCATATCTTTGTACTTCACGCCTCTCACGATTGAGGCGTTTTTATCGTCGAGAATGAGATCAATCACCTGCGTGTTTTTCAAAATCATGACTCTGCTTGGCTCGAAGTCCGCCAAATTCTCCAATGTCTCGAGAAGCTTGTACGTGATTGCCATTCCAGGAAATTTTGCGTCTTTCCCACGGTGTGTTCTTGGTTGTGAATGTCCACCCAAGCGAGACACAACTGACAAATCTAGCCCAAACATCTCCAGAAGCCAATGCACCGCATCGGCACTGTTATTCGTGAGCACTTCAATGAGGGCCGGATTTGCTTGCTTCTCAGCTGTGGCGAGAGTATCTTTGTAGAAACTTTCTACAGAATCTGGGATTTTCAAATTAATCTGGGTCCGGGTGAGAGCTCCATTTATCCCCAGTGTGGCCTTACCACTATTCCCACTAAGAAAGCCTTGTTTGTCCAAAAGAACAACGTTGGCACCCCGGCTATATGCCTGATGAGCAGCAGAAAGACCAGCTAGGCCACCACCAACGATGATGATTGGACTGTCCGGAGAAGCCATGAAGTTTTCTGTGAACTCTTGTAGAAGGGTATGAATATAGAGGTTTGTGTAAGCAGTCAGATTGGCGCCACGAAAGTTTATGCCCACTACTAGTAGTATAAATAAATTTATTTCACTTGAATTGGGAGCAGCCGTGTGCAACTCGTATGAAATGAATAGAATAGAAATAGAGGGCATGCGGCTTGGTAAATCGAGGCGATCATTTGTGAGCACAACAGGCCTGCATCCTGAATGTGGGTTTTGCGGGGTTTGTCGGGGCACGTTTTGTGGGGCTTCATATACCTCGGACTTTGCAAAGTGCCCCGTACCATTATATCACATGGCCTGGACCAGTCGGGTCACTCACATAAAAAGAGGATCTGAAGTCATGCTCTCATAGAACTTAAAGTAATTCTTGCAGCTGGAGTTTTTTCTAGTCAATACAAATACCTTGGCTATTCCACTACCTAGTGTTAGGGACTTCACGGGTCATAGGCGTTATGTATTACTATTTGATCACTGGTTTCTCTAGAACTCTACAGGAGTTCTATTCCACCTTTGTATACTTTATCCCGAGGTCGAACGGAACCCTTAGGACACGAGAGAATATTCTATGAGTTGTTCAAAATGATATCTGACAGAACTCACAATACTAGAAGTGCATATAGTCATATATGCGCTTACTGGACCATCAGTGACAAACTTATACCAGGGACCTTACATCTGGAAGGCTACTTTGTCTGTTATAGTATTAGCCAGCCTAGAGCATCATCCCGAACAGCATAGTTTGTACGAGAATATGGGTAGATCACGTGGGCACAGGTGACTGTAGCCGATGCAGCCGGTAGGTCATATGATGCCCACGGGACGCAAAGGAGACTTGAGGCAAGTCCTTTCACAGGTTTAGATAGTGATAAATATCTACACACCCCTGCAAAGCAGCAGATCCGTATGTAGACTCTGAATAGTATCTCAAATAAATGGTGAAAGATTTTAAACACAATTTTTTTAAATTTGTTTAAATTCTTCAAAAATTTCACTGGGGGTCTGCCTCTTTACAATCCACATCTTCGGAACGCAACACTGATGTCTACATGTATACCCATCAAATAGTATCCTTAGAATCGGCATCTCACCAATATAAACTATTCATAGGGTCCAATAGACCATAATTATTGATTATAACAAAAAAGCATTCAAAACAACGAATCATTAGGCGAAGGGTTTTTGAATAGGTTGAAAAATTAGCAACTGAAAATGTGGCTTTGCGCCAAGTGCAACCACAAACGCCACAGGAGTGCATAATATTTGAACAATACCAAGTCGACATATGCAGTCCCTAAATTAGACGGTGAAGTAAATGATCCACACAAGAGTTGTTTTGAATTTTTGTATATGTTAGAGCTTGATAATGAGAAGTTAGATGAATAACATAAGTCAGCTTGTTTCCCCATAATGATGGCATAACTCCATTCAATTAAGATATCAATTGCAACACTTTGAAAAAGCGTGAAAAATCTTTGTCTAGAGTGCGGCATCAACTTTTGCCAAACCAGGTGTTATTGCCTATTTGAAAAACAATGGGCTGGATCGGGAACGTTCGGTAAGTCGTGAAGCAAATGTGAATGAAGCCCGCAAATAGTGATTTATTGTCTATGTTTTTCAGACAGAAAGAGTCAGAAGCCGCAATTAAATAGACGAGTACCGTCTTAGACGAAACACTATAAAAGCGGAACAGAGTTCATATTTGTTTCAATTTGGAACATCAATTTTGTTTCTACTTGTTGATAGATTCTGGAGTAACCTTTTTGGTTTGTTTACCACTCGAAATAGTCTTTGTGAGCACTGCTGTTCAATCAGC